GTGTGTGTGTGTGTGTGTGTGTGTGTGTGTGTGTGTGTGTGTGTGTGACGACACCTCGAGTACTCTGCATTGTGTTTTGGGGTTGAGGTTCTGTGCAGAGGCACCAGACACAGGGTTCTATCGTGGTGAGACCTTGCAGCATTGATTTTGTCCAACCACACTTCTCAAACACCTTACTAGCATGCATGTCACATATGCTTATATCATGTACGGTATGTCACTACCATCATAATTCAATGAATCTCAGTGTTACTCACTACCTGTAACCTGTCACACAACTTGTGTAGTAGATGTTATGTGTAATATATATCATGCATTTTAGCTTATATCACCACCTGTGAAATCCTTATTCATATGAATTCATTCTACTTGCACCATTATATTCTACCATGCTGTGGTTTATTATACTTCTTTAGGACCTTGTAAATATTTTTTTTTTCACTTTTTGGTACTTTATTTTGTACCCTTCTTGCATGCTTTAGTACCAGTATTTTATTTTTATTTTTTTAGCGAGTCAAATAGGTTCTTCTAATCCTGAACATTTCATTGTACTGTTGACCCTGTATTAACCTGCATATGACAATTAAACATCATAACAATTAATAAAATATAAACACTATAAAGAAGGTGCTATTGACTGAGTTTGTTACAGCTCCTCGGACTTTTGTAAATATACTTTAAATATTACAGTTTCTCCTGTTTATCAAACAGTTAAAACAATTTGTACTTGCAACGTAAACGATATAAATAAACATTATTATTTTGGGGCTGTACCATTTTAAATGTACTGTATTTTTATGCATTTTAATCGTCCTTTTGGATAAAAAAAAAAAACGTTCAATACAAAAATCGTCCTTTTGCATGAATAAAGGAACCGAGCATACAACCTGGCAACCCACTGAACACTGGACAGAGCTAAGCTAAAGAAGATCGTCCTCGGCCTGGTGGCTGCTAGAGACCTCTCCGGTTCCGTTTCATGCTTCTACAATAGTAAAATTGCTACGTGTATATACAGTGCTTCGGAAATATGTCGGTAAGTACAATTAGGTTCACAAAACGTCGAAACATATACAAACGAAGCATTTTGCACTAGGAATTTGTATATATTTACTAAGCGGTGCAACAAATATTTTTCTAAAGATGGCGGCGAGCTCAGCGACAACGCTAGTGTTTGAAACTGTTAGCTAGTAGGTCAAAATGAGCGAAATGCAAAATTTAGCATAAGTGAACTGACATTATCGAAGACATATCTGGAACAGCTATTAAATATTCAACATCGTAATCACCAATGATAAGGAATTAAATGTGCCTGACAGCTCGAACATGGGGTATTTCAATAAGGATGTGCATATTGTAACGTCGGTACTGTCAGGTAAACGCTTAAATTGATGTAATCATGTTAACGAGTGTACACACTATACTGCTCTTCAGTATCTGAATAAAAACTACCGGTAACTTAAACTCATCGTATTTATATTTTGTTTGGACTTCTAAATTTAAGTATGTTGGGCTTTGCCGATGGGATTAAGAGGACGTTTGTCAAATATTTCATATCAAGTATGAGGGGCGAAATCAGCATATTAAGCTGCAATTAATAAAATAGTTTAGTCTTAGAAGGCTTAATTAGATTCAATAAAAACCGAGGCACTTTATGATAATTAGTTTTGTGTGTTTTTATTAAAGTTGTATAAACATGTTAATATTTGCTTGTAAAATTACAAATGTTTTTGCAATTTTATGATTTGTTTATCTTTTGACTTGATTGCAACTAATTTCGTAGTATTGCGTGTAATTCTTGACCTTATCACTCAGACATAATTTTTATTGTTACAATGGTTATTCAAAAAATTATGCAAATCTTTTATTTCACCTAATAATGGCCCTTTTTTCAGCTGCTGACCTCATGTTTCATGTTTATTTATTTCAGGAAAGCGATGACTCTTCTGACTTGACCAGATCAAGTTCTCCGGTTCATCGCAAAAAAAAGCACAGCATGGAGTCATCTAGATCTCCAAGAATGTCCAAACATCACCATTCACGATCGAGGTCACGTTCCAGGGACAGAAAACGTCAGTATTCAGTAACAAAACTGTTTGAGGAGTGCAAATGGCACCAGAATTTGGCCATTAATCGGAAACTATTTAATATTAATTGTGTTTTGTTAGTTGAATGTGTGGGAAGAACGTCTCCTGCATGCTCCGTAATCCAGGTAGATAACTCGTAACAAGGTTGAGTCAGGTCCTCTGGATGGATTCTTCTTTGTTGAAACATTTTGTCTTTTATCCAAAAGGACGAAACATTTCAACTAAGAAGAATCTGTTCAGAGGACCTGACTCAACTTTAGAAGAAGAAGAAGAAGTTTTTTACACAGGTCTCTACCACAAATATCAACCCGGTGTATGTGAGGTGCCTGAGATTGTATTGCTAGCTGAAATACTTTTAGTATATTTGGTTCAGATGTGGTTTTATAACATAGGCTTATGAGTAATGTGAAAAAACTGTTTCTGAGTGTGTGAGCAGTTTGCTTTCTGCTTTTTCCAGGTGACAGAAAATACAGAAGAAGTCGCAGCAGGAGCAAAGAGGTAATTGGTTTATTAATTGTATTGTTTAAAACACAGACAATGTTTTTTTTTTTTTGTTTGTTTTTTTAATATTAATAGGTACTAGCTTTAAGTTAAGGTGAGTATGTAGGTAAATATTCATAGTAGTCAGAACAACAACAATGTGCATTGAGTTCATGTGGGATGGGTATAATTTTGCCCACCTTATGTTCACATGTCTCAAAGGAAGCGTGTGACCTTGGATATCTGTCATTATTGTAGCCATAAACATGGTGAAGAGTAGATTTTTTTTATTTTTTGTTAAACCCTGTGTGTAGATCACATGATAACATTTCTACAATAAATCATACTCAGCGTGCTAATGCACGAAGAGACTGAACAGAAGACCCTGCTGACATAGCAAAATAATATGCCTACTACTGGGACAGGTAACTATCTGCCATTCAAACTCCTATTTGTCTCACATTATTAGTAGAGAAAGTGGCAATATTTTGTTTCTTTCAGCTAAGGATGTGCATTCATTGAATTTTGAAATGCATTAAACTTTTTTTTTAATCTGCAAGATGGATGCCCATCCTTATTCTAACTTGCCATTGGGTGTACTGTATATTCAAAATATTTAGATTGAACTAAGTTGCTAAATTTGCAAACTTGAGAATTGGAACTTCACATTTGCATGCACATTATTAAATCCACCAACAGGATCCAAATTGATGTCTTTAATTCTTATTACTATTCCTAACCATCCTCATGTTTGCAGCCAAAATTGTGCAAACCCAGAAATGCCCACATTTTTAACCAATCTGAAAATGTTTTATTACATTATACATGAATGTTAAGATGGAATCGACATGACAAGATATTTTTCATCTGGTCATATTTTTTTTACATTCTTCCTGCTGTAAGCCATGGTACTAACTCTTTTTGTTGCACTATTTTCCTGAAAGAGACAACTTCTTCTTAAAACAGGCACGAAAGAGGGACTCTGAGAAGCCATCAAAATCTTGTAGAAAAACAAATGATCTGCAAGAGCAGGAGAGACGCTCGACAGAGAATGGAGAGGAGCGGTCCCGGCGCAAGGAAAAGGGGTCTTTAAGAAGCCGAAGCTTATCCAGGTCGCACTCAAGAGAGAGGTAAGTCTGGTCAATAGAAGTCTGTTGGGCAGGTTTACAAAGTTGTCTAATGACACAGAGAAGAAGTAAACACTGTCGAGATTTAGGTACAGATTTTGGATTATTAGACTCATTTAGTATGAGTCTCTTTTGTAAATGAGACAGTTGTGTCTCAACGTGACTAACCTGTACAAATAAAATAAATATGATTTATATTTTGTTTAAATACTGTATTAACTGGCTATTCAACTGGCGGCCCAGGGGCCAACTCGGGCCCATGGATGAATTCAATTTGGCCCACAGTGGGTTCATTTTTAAACAAAACTAGATTTTAAACCATAAAACAAACTTACTTATTGACAATAACTGCTGGATGTCCGGCCCCTGAGATCTTGGATTTCAGTAACTGTGACCCCCTGAGCAATTTAGTTGAATAGTCCTGCAATATAATAATAATAATAATGTGTTTATATAATGGCAAAATTGGCTCTTAACAGTTTAGCTTGAATGTATTCATACGGTACCCCATTTTTCAAACCATCAATAGTTTCTGGCTTGAACCAATACAAATTACAAACAATATTCAAAAAGAATTGTAAAGATTTTCCAAAATGATGAGAACCACTTGAGAGAAATAACACCAATGAATGTGACAAGTGCAGTAACAAGGTACAATAAACGGAATAATTTTAAATTGATCAACAAAATTTAAATACTGTGCAAGAAGTTTTTTATTTTTTTCTCACTTGTTTACGGCAGTCGTATTATAAAAACGTGAGCAATAGAAAAGCTAATACAGCAGAACTGTCACTGTTCTCTGTTAGATCTCATTTAGTGATCAGTTCATGTTGCAAAATCGAAGCTCGCTTGTCAGAGAGAAGCCAAGTGTGAAGGTGAAATGAGCAGTGGATGACTGCCAAAATGGAGCTGTTATTATTTATCTCTGTTGTATTATGGTTAAAGCATGGAGCAAACATTGTAGGATTTCAGAAATTTGTGACCATCTACCGTATTTTTCGGACTATAAGGCGCACTTAAAATCCTTTTAATGTTCTCAAAAATTGACAGTGAGCCTTATAAAAAAGGGAGCCTTATACATTCCTCCGGACGCTAATGCTAATGAATCACTACAGGAGCTTCATGATATCATCAGCTCGCTGCAGAGCAAACACCCCGAGGCTCTTTACGTGGTAGCCGGAGACTTTAACCACGTGAATCTAAAGGACTGTCTCCCAAGCTTTAATCAGCATGTGACGATTCCGACACGTGGAGACCGCACGCTGGACCGTGTTTACACGAACGTAAAAAATGCATACAAAGCCGAACCCCGCCCCCACCTAGGACTGTCAGACCACATCTCAATCTTCCTGGCTCCTGCTTACATGCCCCCGCTGAGACGCTCCAGACCGGTACAAAAGAAAGTTAAATGTTGGATCCAGGACAGTGGCCCCATACTGAGAGATTGTTTTGATCGAACAGACTGGCAGGTTTTCAGAGAAGCTGCTGAAAATGGAGGTTCGCTTGATCTTGACCAATACACATCCTCAGTACTGGGTTACATTAGTACATGTACTGACACAGTCTCCACTATCAGAAATGTTAAAAGCTACCCAAACAGAAAACCTTGGCTGAATGCAGAGGTTCGTACCCTGCTGGAAGCCAGGAACACTGCCTTCAGGTCTGGAAACTCAGAGGAGCTGAGTAGGACAAGAAAAGAGCTGGTTGCTGGTATTAAGAGGGCCAAGGCCACATATGCAAAGAGGATCGAGGGTCAATTCATCTCACAAGACCCTCGGAGCATGTGGAGGGGCATTAAGTGCATAACAGATTATAAAGGAAGGAGTGAACAATGTCCCAAAGACCCATCTCTGCCTGATGCCCTCAACAAGTTCTATGCACGCTTTGAAGACCCGAACAGACCACCCAGCACCAGACTCACCTCACCACCGGATGAAGAGCATCTCAGCGTGACCTCAGCAGAAGTAAGGAGTACCTTCAGGAGGATTAATCCGCACAAAGCAACTGGCCCAGACAACATCCCCGGAAAAGTGTTGAAGGAATGTGCTGATCAGCTCTGTGAGGTGCTGGCAGACATCTTTAACACCTCACTTACCCTGGAGACAGTTCCCACCTGCCTGAAGACTGCCACCATCATCCCAGTCCCAAAAAGCTCTACAGTGACTGGTCTGAATGACTATCGGCCAGTGGCCCTCACCCCGATAGTCGCTAAATGCTTCGAAAAACTGGTCATGACTCACATCAAAACAACCATCAACATCAACGAGGACCCTCATCAGTACGCATACCGTGAGAACCGATCAACAGAGGATGCAATCTCCTCTGTGGTCCACACTGCACTCAACCACCTGGAGCAGAAAAACTCTTACGTCCGTATGCTCTTTGTGGACTTCACATCCGCCTTCAACACCATGATCCCCCAAACCCTGATGGACAAACTATCCACACTAGGACTAAGCCCCTCCATCTGCAACTGGGTACTAGACTTTTTAACAAACAGACCACAGTTAGTGAGGATCCACAACCTCTCCTCCTCCACCATAACCCTCAGCACTGGCTCTCCTCAGGGATGTGTGTTGAGCCCCCTCCTGTTTACTCTGCTCACATATGATTGTGCAGCTACCCATCCAGGCTGTCACATTGTAAAGTTTGCAGATGATACAGCGGTGGTGGGATGCATCACAAACAATGATGAGTCCAGCTACAGGCAGGAGGTGGAACACCTGGAGAGCTGGTGCAGAGAGAATAACCTTCACATCAATGTGAAGAAGACAAAGGAGATGATTGTGGACTTCAGAAGGAACAAAAACACCTACACCCCCCTGAACATAAGAGGATCTGCGGTGGAAGTGGTCTCCAGTTACAAGTACTTGGGTGTACACATGAATGACAACCTCAGCTGGAGCAACAACACCACCAGCCTGATCAAGAAAGCTCATCAGAGACTCTACTTCCTCAGACGGCTGAGGCGAGCTGGTCTGGGAAGCTCAGTCCTCACCTCCTTCTACAGGTGTGCAGTGGAGAGCATCCTGTGCTCGAGCATCAATGTGTGGCATGGAGGCTGCACAGCTGCAGAAAGAAAAGCTTTGCAGAGAGTGGTGAAGGCTGCACAGAAATCTGTTGGAGTCAGTCTCCCCACCATCACAGACATCTACACCTCCAGATGCAGGAAGAGGGCCACCTGCATCATGAAGGACCCCACTCACCCAGCACACACACTTTTTGCCTCCACTCCCCTCAGGCAGGAAGTTGTGGAGCATTAAGTGTAGAACCACTAGACTGAGGAACAGCTTCTACCCTGAGGCTGTTAGACTCATGAATCTCTAACTAGAATAATCACTGTGAAAAACCATATCATGTTGCTGCTGATCTGTTTCATGTTGCTGCTGATCTGTTTCAATGTTGATGTGTTCATGCGTGCACATCTGCTCACAGACTCATGTTCATGTTTGTGGTGATGTTCAATGTTTTATGTTGAGTGCTTAGTGTATATTTAGTTGATGTTTTTCTTAGTTCATATCTTAGATGTTATTACTGTTTTTCTTATACATTTTATTGTTGGATGTAACTGGGACCCTGTGTACATAATTTCGCTCCACCACATGTACCACATGAGGTGCGAATGACAATAAAGAAACTCTGACTCTGACTCTGATAATCCGGTGTGCCTTATGTTTGAATTATGGTTGTGCTTACTGACCTCAAACTGATTTTATGTAGTACACGGCGCTCAAAAATCTGTCAAAATGAACTTTTCGCTTAATGTGCCTTATAATCTGGTGTGCCTTATAGTCCGAAAAATACCGTATTTAAAAAATGTCGTTTTTTTTTTTAAGACCATACAACTTCTACAAATGCTCTTCTGTAGATCTTCAATTCCATATGTTCCACAAGAATAAAATGCAGCATTGTCTTTATGTCCATCATTTTTTTAGATTTATCTTAATTTTCCCATTTAAGGCGGCACCACAGCAAAAGCAGGGACCAGCGACGATCACGATCACGCAGCAGGGACAAGAGGAGGAAGAATAGGTCCCGTTCAGGTTCGAGGACCAAACACCGTCATCATAGCAAAAGTCGTAGCAGGAGCAAGTGGGTGTATTAACAAATAAGACCTTTCTTGTAACTTTTTGAAAATGTATATTGTTCTCTATCTTCCCCATCGTTATTAGACTATTTGCTTTGGTTGTTTTAGAGATCGAAAGAAGAGGAGTGAGAAAGTGAACAAAAAGAGTCGAAGTAGGTCTGTTAGTCCCCTGATTTTCCGCGGTCGAAACAAAGCTATGGATGCACAAGAGGCTCTAGCCAGAAGGTAAGGACGCAGCTGCAGCTAATGGATGCTTCTGTAGCGTTTAGCTTTATTGTATTCTTTAAAAGTTATTTGTGAGGTGGGTTTTTCCTCTTTCTTTTTAGGGCGTCACAAGTATTAATTGTGTGTATTTGCTTTAAGCAATGATTAGATAAGTAAGTTTCTTTTTTTTTCTTTTTTTTTTGTCCAGACTAGAGAGAGCCAAGAAACTGCAGGAGCAGAAAGAAAAGGAAATGCATGAGAAAAAGCACCAACAACAGCAGGAAATGGCTTCAGGTGAGAACTAGCCTGTGTGCACTTCTAAAATGTTGATCATGGAGTTCAGATCCTGTTGTTCATTCTGCTCTGTATGTGTTTAGCTGTGACAGCCCCCATTGCAGCAGCGGCTTCCTCAAATCCAGTCCTCAATGTGGCAGCCCTTTTGGCCTCCGGAACACAAGTCACGCCTCAGATTGCCATGGCTGCACAGATGGCAGCACTTCAAGCTAAAACACTGGCTGAGACGGGTATTTCAGTGCCCAGCTTTTATAACCCATCCGCTGTAAATCCCTCCAAGTTTGCAGAACAGGAGAAAAAGAGGAAAAAACTGTGGCAGGGAAAGAAGGAAGGGGTAAGTTGTTTTTATATTAAGGTCAACTTTTCTTCCTTAAATTGTTCTTTAACATGAACCAAAAGGAAAAAAAAGATTTTTTTTTCATGAGCAGTTTTTGCATACATTAATATTTGTACGATACCTAGCTTTTTAAAATTATTATTATTATTATTATTTTATATTTTTAGGAAAAATCTCAAACAGCAGAATTGTGGGAGAAACTAAACTTTGGAAACAAGGACCAGAATGTTAAATTTCGGAAACTGATGGGCATTAAGGTAAGCGTGCTGTTTCCATGACAATAAGAACTTTTTTGTTTCTTTACTGAGATAAATGCAGTTGTTGTTTTTTTTTTTGTCTCAGCAGGGTGAGGATGAGGAGGCTGAAGTTTCCAAACCACTTAATGATGAAGGCATAAAGACTCTGCAGAAACAAGAGGAGATGTTTAGGAACCTTGATGTACAGTATGAGATGGCACGGTCTCAGACACACACTCAGAGAGGAATGGGCCTCGGCTTTACCACCTCGTTCTCTCGAGGAATGGACTCTGTTTAGTGCCAAACACCAACAATCGCGTCCTCCCTTCATTTAAAACCACCAAATCATTGCTAGCTCTCAAGCTTGCATGGATGTTGCTTTGAATCTGTAATTTATTTATAGACAGAAGTTCCACATATTGTAACATTATAATGTAAATAGAATGATGCTGAGTTTGTCTCGGTATTTATTAATCTGTACATCATTGTAAAAGTAAGCATCATGTTTACTGATGCAGGGTAGTTTTTGGTTTTTTGTTTTGGAAGAATGTGGTAGCTTTTTTTTTTTTTTTTTTTTTTTACTCAAATATATATTTAGTATGTCTGAATATGAACGGGTTCAGGTGAACACTGTTTACATCCATTTAGCAAAAGGCATCCTAGATCAATTGTAGCATCACCAGAATCCCCAGTTTTCACATTTTGATTGGCAAAAACAAACACTGGTTGATATACAGTACATATTGTCTTTGAGTTTCTATGGGTTGAAGTCTGCTTGGAAGGAGTAAAGAATGTTTCAGTTGTTCTTGGATTAAATTTTGTGTTGGCAAAATATGTTTTCATAGTACTTTTGTTATGTTTTAAAAAAAATAAAACATTGTTACTGATACAATAAAACAAAAAGTTATCAGTTTTACTGCTATGTTTGAAATTAAAACTCATAGACGTTCCGTTTTTATGTTCACCTGATAAAAATGTGAGGAGACAGAGGAATTATGGCTTTAAAATTATATTTTCATGAGATTTGAGCACCTCAGTACTTCAGTCATTCTTTTTAACTATCTCTTTATTAATGATTAGCATACCAGGTCTGCAGCCAGACCAGACCAGTTTTTTAATTCTTACTATAAAGATAATTTATTGGCTTATATTCTTTTTTAGTGGGTGATCTCTCAAACAATCATGGCTCTAATTAATTGAATCTGTTTTTTCTTTGTTTTTTTTAAGCCCGCTCCACAGAAACTGTTTTATTGAAGGCTACTTAAGATGTCTTTGTCAGCTGATTCAAGACACTGCATAGTTTTGGTCTTAATCAACTTCTGCCTTTGATATCCTTGATCACAAGATCTTAAGACTTCAGAATCATATTGAGTTATCTGGTTGTGTCCTCAAGTGGTTCTCATTGTACCTGTCTGAAATTTTAATGTCTCTGTATTAAGGATCTTGTCAGACACTACTTGGCTATCTTGTGGTGTACCTCAGGGCACTGTTTTGGGACACAATTATATGCTTTATATATATTCATAAACTGAAGTCCTTAACAAACTGCTTGGCTAACAAAACAGTGTGTGACAGTTACTTGCTGAACTCTGATAAGTGCGAAACTAACCACCTGATTTTGTGACGTCTTTAAAACGTAAAACTGACACTGCCACTTCCATTGTAGGAACGTCTCAAAACTGAAAAGCTTTATGTCAAAATAGGAACTTGAGATGGTTGTTGGTGCTTTTATTTCTTCTCGGTCAGACTATTGTAACATCTTATTCACATCTTTAAACAAGGAACTGAACAGTCTTCAGGTTGTCCAGAACTGCTGCAAGATTGCCAACTCGTATAAACAAACGAGCTCACATCACACTCGTTGAAGCTTCCCTTCACTGGTTCAGTTTTAGAATAAATTAAAATATATACTTTTAGAGCTTTGCATTAACAAACACCTTCTTATATGTTCGTTCTGCTCCACCCTCCATCTTGTAGGTTAAGGTAATCTGATCAGAGGTTGTTGATGGTACCCCACACCCACTTCAAGTCTTAGGAAGATCGATCATTCCAAACAGTTGCACTCCAACTTTGGAATGCTCTGCCTCCATCTTTACTCAGCCTAGATTGTACTGATGCATTTAACATCTGAAGACATTCTTTTATAAGCAGGCGTTTAGCTAGTTGTTGAATTTTATTGTGTGTTTTACATGCACTTTTCTATGCTTTCATATGTATGGATGCTTGTATGTATTTTGGTTATGTTCTTAATATTTTACTGCTTCTGGTGTGAAGCGCCTTGTGATGTCACATCCCTGAAAGGTGGTGTATAAATAAACTTTACTTATTAGAAAACACAGCACCAGTCTTGCAAAACATCAGTATATTAACCAAGTGTTGCATTCAGATGCATTTCTCCACCAGTTTTGCTTTCTTGTACTGTACTTCTAATGTTTTTAGAAAAATGCTTCAAGAAAATATTTTAGTGATTTGTCTGTTTTGTCCCTTTTTATCAGATGCAACATCTTTATTGTTGAGTATCAACACTAAAGATAACTTTCCGTGTTCAGTAGGAAAACACAATCACACTTGGCATATACATAGAGCTGAGTTGCCATCTCAGGATGTATTGCTTGAGATAGCGTGTGGATGGCTGTGGCTGGGTGGTTGGAGCAGTCGTCCTCCAATGCGAGAGTTGGGGGTTCGAATCCAACAGCAGTCACATGTCGAAGTGTCCCTGGGCAAGACACTGAACCCCTCGTTGCCTCTGATGTGTGTCCCATCAGTATGAATGTGATAAAAGCTCTGATTAGTCTCTACAATGATTTGTTCAAATTGCTTTGTAGAGATCTAGTAGAGTGATGTATGAATGGGTAAATGAGGGCACAGATTTTGTTGTAAAGCGCTTTTGAGTATCTCGCTAAGATAGAAAGGCGCTGTACAAGTACAGTCCATTTACCATAGCAAATCAGGTCTCAGCCTAACTCTAGTATTATAGTGTGTTGGCTAATCTGATTACAAGTCCATAGTAAAGGCCCAATTGTTGTCTAAAAAATTAATTTTGTGGTTGTTTTTATACCCAACAATGTTCACTTGTGCATTTTGCATTCAGTAGAACCTCACAGGACCTGAGAGATTCATTATCTGGATGTTATTCCAGCCATTTTCTAAAGTTTCATCAGAACTCGTGTTAATAAAAAGGTTGTTAAAATACATTCTCTATGAAAAGAGAAAAATGTGGCGTTTTAGGTTCAGATGTCAAGAGCCGTGCCCTTCTCAACAAAAAGAGCTTGAACCTGCAGCCTTAGGATTATGAGACTGTGGCACTTACCACTGAGCCACCGCAGTACATTAGTACCACTTTACAATAAGGGTACCTTTATAAATCCCTAATAGTCAAAATGCAGTTATTGAAGTTGTAAACACCAAATAAACCATGAATAAGCAGTTAAAAGGACAATATTGATGTGTCTTGCCAAATACTGAGCCAACATTAATCTACTCCATTTTCAATGTTTATTTTTTTTCCAAAACTTCAAGTTCAAAGATCAAACCCAGCAAGTTACCTGCATGTAAAGACCAAATTTTAAATACAAAGTTTGTTTTGGTGTATAAAGTTTAGTTGGGGGTGGCACGGTAGAGCTGCTGCCTGTCAGCGAGGTCGCCAGTGCAAACCGTAACGGGACCTTTCTGGTGGAGTTTGCATGTTTTGTCCGTGCATGCGTGTTTTCTCCGGGTACTCCGGTTTCCTCCTATCGACCAAAAACATGCATGTTAGGCTAATTGGTAACAAATTTTCCCTATAGGTGTGAGTGAGAGAGTGAATGGTTGTTTGTCTCATTGGTCTCTGTGATGGACTAGAGACTGTCCCCCGCATCTCACACAGTGATCGATGGACATGGGCACCAGTGACCCCCCAGCGACCCGAAAAGGAAGAAGCAGGTAAAGATAATGGATGGATGGATGTTTAGTTGGAAATAAATGTGATCAACAATACTTAAAATTTAAAATACCGGTAAATTATCTGAATGAATTTAAACATGGTGCTTAATTTAACCAGAGAGTGAACCTGCTGTAGTGTATGAACAATGTTTTATTTATGCTGCTTTATAAAGTGCTTACAAACCATAAACAACCTATTCACAAATAAACAAATCCTCTTAGAAATTGCACTAATTTAGATTTTTCATGGAACAATATAAATATTTGAAAGGTAGCTCAAGACTGTTATACACACAAAAAAAATACAGCAAGTGTTTTCAGAATATCAATTAAAAAAAATAAAATAAAGCAAAACCATTTGGACAGAAATAGCAAAACACTAACAAAAACTGAAATATTTTTCCAAAAACTAAACCTACATACAAAAACTTAGCTGTCCTTAAAAAAAGTACATAAAAATGTCAGCTTATTAATTTTAAGATAAGCTGCTACTCTTCTATTGAAAGCTGTATGGAAATCTGACTTCACCTGCATATAAGGCTTGAGTACAGCACATGAGCTACACCGGTGATGAGGTTATGGTTTGCAAACTCAAGAATAAGGAGCAGGATTGGGTATTCGCTACGTCTCTTTTCTAGTGTCGACTCCTCACATAAACCCATCCAGTGAAGCAGCAGCGTCTGCATGGCTTCAGGAAACAGTTCTGTGGTTAGTTCCTCAGCAGGCGGCAGGTCACTTATTCTCTCGATGTGCTGAACTTTGAAGCCCTCCACCTTCTGGCTGATGCTGCTGTTGGCTGCGTGAAACTGCTGGCCGAGCCAACGTCCTACACAAGTGAGCAGGTGACTCGAATACACAGAGTCTTTGGCCCAGTCCTCAGCGTTCAGCAGGGCTAACACAGTTTCTGCTGCATCCTTTTCTTTTAGCTCACCCTTCACATGTTGATCGATGCATGTAAGAAGCAGCAGGATGGCTTCCAGACGTTCTGTGCAGCTTTGAGGTTGAGAGGAGAGCTGGTCAGCCAAACGGTGCAGTCCTTCTATTAGTGTGGCTACAACTGGCTGGCTATCTGATGAAAAAGTGCAATAGTTATGATCTGCTGATGTATCAGCCATGTCACTGCCACACTGGGTCAGGCACCTGTCATCCTCACAGTAAGGACGTTCTGATATTTCATTTAGTTCTGTTCCAAACACACTGGGGGACTCTGAAGTGTCAAGCTGCACACTGAGGCTGTAAGTCATTTCCAGTGGGCTCTCGTTTATCTGAGATTTCCAAACATCCTATAAAGAAAAATACAACAGCTCAAATATTAGAAATAGAAAGCAACCTGGTCATCAGAATAGATGAATGATGTACCTGGAAGTTCTCCAGCACTGCAAGCTGCTCCTGCTTAGTGTACATTTCAAAGGCAACTCGAAAAAGTCCTTGAATACTGTAAAACCACAGGCTGTTGTTTGAAGCAGGAACCCTCAAGCCCTGGAACCTAAAACCTGGAAAGAAGCACTTTTATAGTCATAAGTGTTGTTTCTTTAATGCAGTGTATTATCTTTTGTTTTAGACTTTACCTGAGGAAAACTTTATTTTAGTGGCAAGTCCTTTTTTGGCAAACTTGGCATGGTACCTGGGATGGTTCTCTATCCGGATGTCAGTGTTGGAGAGGAGATCGGCTCCTAAATAAAGTGGTATCACAGGGCCCTGGTGTAAAAATAATAATAAATACGAACATTGTCATTTTATTCATTGTTATAATAAAATTATAATATATTAAACAGAGTTTAAATGTGTAGGAGGACTAGTTTAAAAAATTCAATGTCATTCATGTGAATTCTACTAAAACTAGAGGCATTGCTTTTTATGCTAAAAAGAACACTGGGGGCTAAAATACTGCTGAAAGTAATTTGTTAAAACTGAGACAGAGCACTAGCTTAAAGCTAAAAAAGCAAAACACTAGCTATAAGCTAAAAATATCAAAATGCCAGCTAAAATCTAAAAGTAGCAAGACGATGGCTAAAAGTTGCAAAGGTTGGCCAAAAGTTAAATGAAGCTAAAGGCTAGCTACCGCTGAAAGCAGAAGCTAAAAATAGGCCTGGTAAAAACTAAAAGTAGCACCATTCTATTAATACAGCAAAAGATTAGCTAAAAGCTAAACAAAGCAAATGGCTATATAATAATAATAAATAAATAAATAAAGTGCTATGTGTTGTCATCATTGTTTGTTCCCATACAAAGACAAAATTGGCTCTCTGCATTTAACCCACTGCACCTGGGATGCACCCAGGTGGAGCAGTGGGCAGCTAGGTGAGCGCCCAGGGAGCAATTCGGGATTGGATGTCCTGCTCAGAGACACCATGAGCTGTGCAATGACCGGGGATCGAACCCAGAACCTTCGGGTCCCGAGTCGGCTGCCCTGCCCATAAGCTAAAAGTAGAAAAGGGCTAACTAGGGGGTGAATGCAGCAAAAGGATGGCTATTAACTAAAAGTAGCAAATGCTTAACTTTAAGCTTCAAGTAGCACAAGAACACAAAAACAGAGTGAGTATGATGAAGCATACTGTATTTCAGAGAACGTTTTGGAAGAAACTGCAGAAATCTCAACGTAACTCTATGGTAAATAAATATAAAAGTTACCAAAACAAACCACAACATCCACCTCCAAATGGGCTAAGTTTTGATTTATAAATCGTTAAAGTAGCATAAACTATTTGGACTCTAAATGAGTCCTTGAGGCTCAATGGGATTAACCTGTATAAATAAAGTTTGAATGAAAAAAGAAATGGGAAACGGACTTGGAGGAATCCATATCAGACTCAGTCTGGCACAAGATCTTTCACAACATTTTTTTTTTATCCTCAATCTGTCTAAGATGCTGTAATTCAATTCAAGGTGGTGCACCGGCTACACTGGTCCAAAGACAAGCTGTCCAAGAACAACACTGACCTGTATCCTGCACGTGATCATTGTAAACAAACTCCAGCTACGCTCTTCTGGACACATTCTGGACCTGTCCCAAACTGCGGATCTACTGGTGGGTGATCTATTTTTGACACCTTCTCTGGGATATGTGGGAAAACTGTGCACCCATCACCATTCATCTCACTGTTTGGAGTGTCCCCAGTGGATACGTCCTTCAGCATGTATGAGAAGGATGTGATTGCTTTTGGCTCTCTTCTGGCCAGGAGACTTGTTTTGTGCAGATGGAAGGTCCCACCCCCTCCTCCCCCAGCATATAACTGGATAAGAGAAGTCATGTATCATATTCATCTGGAAAAAAATAGATGTACCCGGTACCCTGAAAGGTTCTGTAAAAGTTTTGGAATATATGGCAGCCTTTTGTGTCATATGTTGAAAACATGTCAGTGCCTGCTTAGGATGTGTATGTGTGACTGTGTGGGAGAGGAGGAGGTCGGGGTGGGAGGGGATTTTGTTCTGTTCTTTGTGTGTGTGTGTGTTTAAAAAAAAAAGTAATAAAAAAAGACTTGTTTAAAAAATATATCATAAAATGATACAGAAGTAGTGTCCTCAAGCTGTTAAATTGTTAATCGCGCTTTTTAACCAAATATTTCATCATCCCTAGATAAATAAAAAATATCATGAAAGGGAAAGCGACTCACCTTGTCGGGACTATCCGACAACTTAAACGAAGTTACATTCACTAAGTAAATGAAACGAATTTTCCGAGCGCCCCCGACCCACTGCGGTAAGGCTAAGTGGATTGTTGAGCAGTCTGACATCGCTGGAGGCAAACGGTGATACACACATCTGTGTTTGAGCGTTTGACTGGATGTTTTTACTACGGTGGCCCTAAGGTGTAAATGAACAACATTTGAAAAATACCGAACAAGACACTGTAAATTAGTAAAAGGCAAAGTACGTCTAAAACACGGCAAGTAGACTTGAATCAAATCCAACACAACGGAAAAAAAACAACCGGACACACGTTTCCGGAAACGTTGCAATGGTTATTTTGCCCTCAGTATTGTCTAGCTAGCTAAGCACAAGTTTGTTTGAAAATAAATATAAGTTAGTCATTTCTGAAACTACGCTAGTGCATGGTCTTGCAGGCGATTATTTAGATTTTCTGCTGATAAATCTGTGAGGTACTTGTTTTTCTGACATGTATTTTTTTTTTACCTGTAAGACTATAATGTGGAGTTAAAATAACCCATAGTTATTTCGATGGCACGTGACACCAGAAGAACCAATGAATTCAAGAAGAGCTTCTTTTCGCCTCAGTGTAAAAATGGCTGAGGTTGATTTCGGGGATACTGAGCTCTTTGAGCAGCTTGAAGACTCTGCACCGTTTATCCCGAGACACATTCGTTTCACGAATGATGATGAGGAAAACCAAGAGGAGTCGAACCGACTTCAGATCAAGCTCGAAGAGTGTGAAGCAAACGTCCAGAAACTTTCGGAGGAGAATATCCTTTTGTCAGTTGCTATCGGTGTTAGCAATGTAGCATGTTTGCTAGCACAGCAACCATCCCGTTCTTAGATCAAAATACTGAATAATGCAAAACTTACTAATATACGATTAGGTTATTTTGTGGCATATATGTCTGTTTTCTTAACTTTTAGTCTACATAGAGTTTTACAACGGAAACTGAACATATTGACACGACCAAGGTAATGCTCTTCAGGTACACAGTTCAAATAATAACAAAACGAAACTGATCAGATCTTCACTACAAATGTCTCTTGATGTTACAGCGGCATCACAGTTGACGATGTCGGTATGGATGGACCCTTTCTTCAGATCCTTTATGCGAATAACGTTGTATCGAAGTAAGTTTTTATTTTTACTATGACCCAATACATATATCCCTATACAAGGGTTGAAGGGGCGAAAGAAGCAAAACGCAAACTAACAAACATTTAATCAGTGTTGTGTTTGAATTAGATTTTTTTTTTATATGATTTCTCATCTGGATTGTTCTCGTTTACTTTTTTCTGAAATTTTGCACAATAATTTGACCTTAAACTATTTGAGCTAATGATAGAAAATATAAATACAATAATGCTGGCAACTAAATACTGACATTAATAAATTTGGTTTTCGTGTTTATGTTTGATTTGATTGATCATATGAGTGACAAAGTGGGTTTGCAGCTGACATAATGATAAATGCATAGGAAATGCTCTAATTAGTGTTTCTCTCAAAGGCAATGTCGTCAAGAAATTGAAGACTGTGTCTGCAATGTGATCCATAAACACCAGAAACCAAGCAGTGAGAAGCAGAAAACGTTTCACATGAAACCCCAGGTATTTAGTTATTTCTCAACACTTATTTTGTTAGTTATTCAGTTGATAAACAGTTACAATCTTGCTGTTTACATAAATTTTTTCTGCATCTGAAGAGCTCCGCTTTTGCTTTGGATGAAGATCCACAGAAGTTGGTCACCAGTAGTGTGAGAACAACAACAGAGGCCTTTAAAGTAGGTATCTGCTTTTTAGCCCACTCTTGTGAATTGCAAGAAATTTTGTCATAAGAAAAATAAAGCGTTTTGTTGTTTTTCTTTTAGGTGGTTGGAAGTGTTTTATATTTTGCTACCTTTAGTGTTGACAAACTTGGACAGCCTTTGGTGAATGAAAACCCCCAGCTGACCGATGGATGGGATGTTCCAGTGTATCTTTATTGTGGATCAAACATTTACAACCTTCGGAACTGTTTTACAAGATAAAAATAATGAATTCAAACTTACATTTTAGGTGCTTATATGGACTGCTTTTCAAATCTCATTTGAATCAACAGTATTTATATATATATATATATATATATATATATATATATATATATATGTATTGTACTATATTTGATGTAACAAATGTCAAATGGCTTCCTGAATTGTTGCACAGCTACTTGCAGGTATTCAACTTAGTGATTGGAGCTGAAGGACAGGAAATAGAAATGAAAGATAAAAGGTATGACTTTAAAAAAAATTGCAGCTTCTGCTAAGTTATAATTTACTTTTTTTGCTTTATTTTTTGGTATTGCATGAATAATTTTTACTAATCTCTATTGCAGACCCAAGTCTATGTGTTTCAACTGCGGCTCAAGCAGTCATCAGCTCAGAGACTGTCCAAAGGTATAATTTTGCTACTAAAATGGCAGGAATACAAATTAAACACAAGAAGAGTTGGAACTTGATTTATTGCATTCACACAATTACATTTCTAGCCTAAAGACATGACTGCAATAAATGAAAGAAGAAAGGAGTTCAATCAGAACAACCAGGTTATGGTGGGTAACCAGCGATACCATGCAGAAGAAGTGGAGGAGCGTTTTGCCAGATTCAAACCTGGAGTCATTAGGTAGGATTGTTAATTTGTGCAAATCTAAATTAAATCTGAAAATGTGTTGTAATATAAGTAAAGGTGAATGTGCATATCTACTACTTTGTCCTGAATAGCGAGGAGCTTTTGGCAGCCCTGGGAGTTAAAGGCAACACCCTCCCTCCTCTGATTTATCGAATGAGACAGCTGGGTTATCCACCAGGTTGGCTCAAGGACGCAGAGATGGAAAACTCTGGTTTATTCCTATATGATGGAAATGGTTTGTTTGTTTTTAACAATAAGGCTTCTCTGTTTTTCATCCAGAAAATTTGGACTTTGACCTTTTTTCCCCCCTCTCTTTTGCAGCATCAAATAATGGCGGTGAAACACAAGATACTTCACAGAGCAGCTCCTATGATGTTTCCAAACTGGTGGATTTCCCAGGCTTCAATGTGGCTGCCCCTCATAACATGAAAGATGTACGCAGCACAACACAACAAATGTTTAGCTTAAATATATCACAAGTATAATTTTGTGTTGTTCACTTTTTCTTAGGTAAATTGGTACTGATACTATAGCTTAGATTTTTTTTCCCCATTTTATTATTTATTTTTCCATCATAAAAGCAGCACAGCTTTTAATCCAGAAGTTTCCAAACGTTTTGGTGGCACTTTTTACATTTGTGCAAATAATACGTCTTTTCTGTCTTCTAGGAGTTCATGCATTATGGCTCGATTCCCATGCAGAGCAGCCACATGAAGCAAAACTATGCAGCATATCTGTCCAACAGCTTCCCTCTGGTATCTTTCTTAATGTATTCAAGTGTTTGGGTTTCTTCTGTAAACATTTAGGCCAGGGCCTCTTAATCCTGTTAGGACTGCTTTTTAGCTTTCACTTAAACTCTTACTATCCCTGGTTAGCAATGATGTAAACACAACAGCAACTACGTATCAGATCAGCTCTCATTTTCCATTATATTAGTCTGTTTTGTTTTAAAATTGTTATTTCTCAATATCAGATATTGCAGCATTTAAGGCTTGTACACTTGTCTTTATTTAGCAAATCTGTTGCTTTTTTCTGTAAAGGCTATTTTATGCTATTTACCAGTACATGCTCCAGGTATTCAGTTACGTTATAATGACAAATATGCGAAATGGAACATAAAACCTTGTAATTCAGATTTAGAATTCAAACATTTTTACCCTTTTTCATTGTTTTGGTGTCAGTGGTAAATTTATTTAAAAAAAAGTAGGATGCGTAATGAAAATAGTTTGGTTAAAAACTGATTTTTTTCTTCTTTTTTTTTTTTTACCCTTAAAGCCTGGTGCCGCCTGCAACAAAAGACAACAAGAGTCTGACTCCTCTCCACAACTGAAGAAGAAGCTAAAGTCTAGCCCTGATCGCATCTCAGACAGAAGTTCAGACATGGATATTGAATCAGGTTGCTATTCAGGTCGTCTAACTGTTTATTGATGGCTTGTTAATGTAGTTTTCTTTGGTCTAGTTTTTATTGCCACTGACCTCATTCTTTAACTCACAGTTTAAATAAGAATTAATTGGAATAAAATATCATTTATTGTTTTGTTTATCGGTAGTCAAAGTAATTTATTTATTTATTTTTTTGCTTTCCACAGATCCAGGGACAGTTTACAGCACTGGTGACTTTCAGTTCCAGTCACCTCTACCACCAGGCTCTCCTTCCTTCAGTTCACCACCTCCTTTACCAGAGGGCACCCCCCCTTCTACACCCATTCCTCCACCTCTCCCAAAAGGTACACCTCCACCCACACCCACCAACGGCTCTCCAGCTCTGGAAGGGCGTACCAGGACAGTAGTTAATGAAAACGAGGAGGAAGCAGAAGATGAACTGACACTGGAGGAACTGGAGGAGCAGCAGAGGTTGATCTGGGCAGCACTGCAAAATGCAGATTCAGCCACCAATAGTGATAGTGAAACACCAGCCTTAGGAACACCTGTGCCCAGTTCACCAAGCGTTTCCACATCGGTACGCACAGACACAGAAACGGAGGAGGTTGAAGAGTCAACAGACAAAGTGACAGCTGCTGAACCTTGTAGTGATGAAAAGTGGGTGCAAGAGATCGACACTCAAAGCCCTGGACCAGTCAAAGTTAAGGAGGAGAGTCCTCAGAGTCCTGAGCCTGTCAAATCCCAAGATGATAGCCCTCAGAGCCCTGATCCAGACATGTCTAATCTGGGGGCTGGAGAAGGTCCTCAAAAGCAGGTAGAAAAGATTACTGGTATTCCTCATCGAAGCAGGTTTGCAGCTGGAATCGTCCCATTTGAAAATACACCTGAATTCACAGAGGTGGCTGAAGCGACAGGAACATACCTGAAGATCAGAGACTTGCTTAAATGTTCTCCTCGGAGTTTGGCAAAGAAAAACTAACATTCGGAACACAAAGTATGAATAAATGCTAAATCTGAAACATCAGATTTAATTTTTACTAAGCATAACTTTGTTTCTAGCTCTTTTTTAAAATTGTAAAAATACCAAGAGAGATGAAGCTTTTAGGAAGGCTGCAACATGTTTTGAGCAGCATTGTGACATTGTTTGCTTATTTTATTGTAAAATTTGTATAGTTTTAATTTTATAAGGCTTCATGGCTTTTTTTTTGTTGTCACATTTGAAATGCTCTACAAGCATAAATAAATGGGCCTCATTTTGTTTAACCAGTGTGTTGTTTTGTATGACAACAAAGATGTTGGCAGCACATTTGTTAAGTGATTTTTACAATGTGTAATTATCAACCATTTTAAGCATAATAAAATTTTCTTTGAGTAATTATTTTACACTTTCAACTGTTTTTATCCAGATGTATTAGAAAATGTAAAGTATTGCTAACCCCCACCCCCCGAAAAAAACAAGTCAACAGACATTTTGAAAGGACTTCAGAAAGAATAAACATCATAGGACTGCCTTAAAATTTACAAGACTGATTCTTAGGAATCACAGTTCAAGGGCAATCCCTGTCATACAAGAGAGTCTGGAACTGAGACTTGAGCTAAGAAATTTCTCAACAGATCTCAAAATGTTAACATATAGTCTATGACATCACTCAAAGTTGTTTTATAGAAATGCAAAAAAAAAAAAAAAAAACCCTGCTGAATAAGAACTTTATTAATTTTGATGTTATGTTGTTTATTTGTCATATGTAGGTTAACATGGGGTCAACAGTGCAATGAAATGTTCAGGATGAGAAGAACCAGTTTGACTGCTAAAAGCAAACAAGCAAGAAATACAAAAGCATGCAATGAGGGTACAAAAAGTGAGAAAAATATATTTACAAGATCCTAAAGAAATCTAGTAAACAACAACATGGTAGAATATAATGGTGCAAGTAGGATGCATTTGTATGAATAAGTATTTCACAGGTGGTAATATAAGCTAAAATGCACATGATATATATTGCACATAGCATACTACAGGGTGTGTGACAGACACAGGCAGTTACACTGAGATTAATTGAATTATGATGTAAAATAAAAGTCCAGTATAGGTAAAGTAAACCATACTAATTGTACCCTAGAATAACTTGAAAACAATGCAACAATCAATAAATTTTAAGTATTTCTGAACTGTTCCACCAATGTTCCCACACTCCAACGTTTCTAGTGACTTTGAATGTTTGTTTGATGGGGTACCATCTTGCTTGAACATATCATCTTTGATTACACTCTTCCTGTTTCCGTTGGAATTAAATGTTTTGTTTGAGGGAGGGTGTCCTCTTGAGTCAACATATCTTTGGTTAGCACCCTGACGTTCCTGTCTGCGGTTGGAGGGGCGGGCTAGTGCTCGTGCCAGATCCAAGCAGTCGTAGTTTTGTACTTAGCTCGTTAGCTTGTTCTTGTTTTTTTCTTTTCTCGGTAGACGGAGGCTGTTGAGGAACATATCAGGTTAGTAACAGTTCACGCCCTGGCAGGTTGCATATTTTGCGGACTTTCTTTTCTTTACGGCTTCTAAAGAGGAGTGAACTCTAAAAGAAAGTTGTTCAGGTAGACTAGACGACACTTGACGTGTCTGTTGGTCTATACAGCAGCTCTTCGGACCACCGGTGTGCTGTAATGCTCGGGCCTCGTTGCTAACGTTACTTAGCAACTAATCTCGTCTGCCTTTTTTTTTTACCACGATATCGAAGAGGAGTAATTTAAGAGAACCGATGAGGTGGCAGTTAAATCAACGGCCAGTAAGGGAAGTTATATATGCAGGTGATTTAATCTGTGGCAGCAGCAGCGTTTCCTGAGCTTCTGAGACACTGCAGACACTTCTGGACTTGTGGAATTTGTTAGCTTTTCGGCTCTCATGATTAGCACCTTGCCAAACGCCGAGTTTATCCAGACAGCTCAAGGTCAGCTAACATGTCAGTTTATTCGCAAATGTGCCACCTCATCGACAGCTACAAGCTCAAGTGAACAGGCAGATTTGGTTCTTAGGCCACTTAAGCATTGTGATGTACTGAAATCTGGACTGAACTGTGTTTCAGCTTTTCTGATTTAGCTTTTCTGCATTTGTGTGGGGCGGAAAGCGGCTTAGTCTTTTTGAACAGATTATCAAAGCTTCAATGTTGCAAATGAGATTTTACAAATTGTTTTCTGATATCCACTTTTAAAATGTTTATCTGTAAAATGTTGAACAGCACATGGGCTCACATGTAAGGACAAGACCAACTGCTCATTTCACAAAAAATATATTTTTCCATTCTTGTCTACCTTTCTATGTATTTACCACATATCATAGTTAGGTCTGAGCCCTCAGTCAGTGTAGGGAACAAAGTGCTACCGTTGTTGAGCTTAGTTTTATTTAAGGATTGTTAACATCAAAATCCATGAACGTGTTGAGAAGATACTCCATCCCTCAGCATCTCTTCTTTGGTCAGTTTGCTTTTCCACACCTTCTGTGTCAGTGCCAGCTGGGGCCCACATAATCATCCCAGCAGATGTTTCCTTGGAGAGGAAGGAACAGAGAGCTGAGATTGTCCTTTTGATGATAAAACCAAGAGGGAGTGTGCGTTGCATCAGATAATGCACTTTTTTTTGTAGATGTGAATGTGTTTTTTGCAGATAGAGATTCTTATTGTGTGAGGCAGAAGTGTAAAGGGATACCCCAGCATTCAGGACTGTAGAGGTAGGGTGGTCAGAGTTTAACCTGCTGTACTTGGTTCTATATTTGTCAAGTCACAGGCTAATTTTAACCCACTGAAAGACGTGGAATGAAAGCTGCCTGGTTTGTGTAACAATCTCCAGTCACATAAAAAAATAAACATTTATTTAAAAAAATGCTTCTGTGTAAAACAGATTGGTTAAAAAATTGGAATATGTTTTATATAGTGGAGAGCAGTGATGCTGTCATCGCTGTTTACATTTTTGTCAAAATGCAGGAGATGCAGTTTTTTTCCATCTTGAAAGCAGAAGCTGGTTGCCATTTAAGAATTTCAGTTCTGTTTACAACAAGCCATTTATCAGCTTTTGTTTGTGAATACATCATAAAAAATGAGACTACAGTGCAAGGGATTTACCTCCAGTAAACTTAACATTTTAATGTTTTGATACTGTTTGAGTCCCTTTTTAAAATGTGCAAAGCGTTGGTGTTCAGCTTTGTCCCAAGCTACAGATTAGACTGAAAGTTGGCGGCAAATTATTAACATCACTGGGAACGTTTGAACTGTATGTAGATCATGTCTAGTTGACTACATCAGCTTACCAATCAGAGCTGAAACACTGTTCACTTTTACACAACAGTAAAGCTTTGCTATTAAATAAAACTTAATGAAATCAATTTTAAGATTGGAACTGTTTTATTTTTGTTATGAATGTTAGATACAGGAGCTTAATATGTTGATTTAGATTTGTATTGTGGTATCTTAAGCCTTTGAGGTATTTCTTTCTCTGACCTCCTTTTGACTCGAAGCCACTAATAAGAATCATTCAAGAAAAACTGGAACACTCGGTTCAAACTAAGCCGTGCTCGCTGATGGTCACCTTTCATTCTGGGAAACTGTCTTGAAGAATTTGAAGAGCTTCTTATCATTTCTTCCATCAACTCATCCATCTATTTTCAGCGGCTCATTCAGGACTGGGTCGTAGGACTGAGTGGGGTTGTCCAGACCTCCTCGTCCTCCCTCATCAACTTTTCAGATCTTGGGTGGACACACTGTCAGCTTTTAGATTTACGTAATCTCTTCTGTGAGTTCTAGGTCAGTCCCAACACCTCCTCCCAGTAACATCCTTTTTGTGGTTTTGTTCAATAAATACACTTAACCTCGTAAACCTTCAAAAAAAAATGAAAGGTATGTTTTTCTGTGACCTGCTGAACAAGTATGCTTTTACACTGTGGTGTTAAGAAAAAGTTATTTATTTTAAAATAGGAGATGGGGTGTGGGGGGGACTTTAAACATCTTCAAATATATGAAGTTCAAGCAGGACCTTTTGTTAGTTTACCAAATGTTGCAGTAGTCGGTGCTTGTGCTCATGAATGCTTTATGTATTTTGGTATTTTAGCCATTTTCAACTTATGGCTTCATATTAAAGGCAAAGTCATTGTTGTCACTCATTCAATCCTATCCAACTTTATTTGCTATAGACACCAAAGCAGACCGAAGTGCTGTACAGAATCCCATTAAAACATGGCTCGCACAATACAAAATGCAATTAAAAACACTAGTAAAATGCACAAGATCTGATCAAACAATCAAAACAATAAACCTACAAAATAAAAAATTGGTTAAAAATAAAAACAACCATTTACAAAGTGTTAAATGCCAAAGAAAACAGGTGGCTTTTAAAAATAGTTTTTAAAATGGACAATGTAGAGGTGTGTCTGAGATGGAGAGGCAGCTCGCTCCACAGTTTAGGAGCTGCAGCAGCAAAAGCTTGATCCCCCTGAGTTTGAGTCTGGTTTTAGGTCCCTCAGGAGCAGCTCAGCTGATCTGACCGAGCAGGAGGGTTTGTAGGGATGCAACAATTCAGAGCGGTAGGGTGGGGCAAGGGCATTCACAGATTTAAAAACAAATATAAGTATTTTTAAAATGGATCCTACAATGCTCGGGCAGCCATTGGAGTGAGGATAAAATGGGAGAGATGTGCTCATATCAACTCATTTATATAATCTAAAAAGTTAAGTCTGGTCCTCTGGACGGGTTAAATAAACAAAAAAATTGAAGAAACGTTTCGTCTTTCATCTGAAAGACTTCTAGAAATCATAGAAGTTCATATTTAGAAGACCTTCTATGACTTCTAGAAGTCTTTCAGATGAAAGACGAAACATTTCTACAATTTTTTTTGTTTTTTGAACTTGTCCAGAGGACCAGACTAAACTTTTTAGATTTTTCTACCTGGATTATTAAGCGTGCATCAGGATCATTTATATAATGTCATGAAATAAGCCCCTGCTCTTACCCAGAAGCCTTCTAGTTTTTTCCCAAGGTGTCATATTAACTTTATATTTACAGTTGCTATCGTATGCTGTGATATTTCTTAAATCAGTTTCCTCTGCTTCAGATTGTCTGTGATTTTAGCCTCACTGATGGTGGCTGCATCAGGAATGTCATATTTAGTATTTCTCCTCCTTTGCACCTGTTTTGCAAGGTTTGTGTAAGCGTGAACCATCTCTTCACTGAAATAGATGTGGAAGCTATAGATCTCGTCCATATTTTCCCAAGGCCCTGAGTTTATCAGTAGATCTTCTTTTCTTTGATTCATTCAGTGAAAATGATGCAGGTACTAAACCATCACACATGCACACAGTAACGTTGTGCAGAGAAAGCTTGACTAGAGCGTTCAACCATTTGGTGGTTGTTGAGGTAATCCGACAAACAGGATAATCTGCTGCAGCTTGTGTTGGTCATGTTTCTACAGTAATCCTGTTTTCGAGAAGTTGCCAGTAAGCCTTACATGATTTTAAATGGCAGAATGACTGACTTCCCATGTGTTTTGTAATCAGGGTCAGTTCAAGGAAGAGGTGCGTGATTGCTGTACCATAAACTGAATATTGGCCGCTCTCTTTTTTTTTTTTTTAACAGAGTATTTTTAGATTTGTGACATTGTGTACACAGAGAAGCTTGTTGTCATAACAGAAACACAATCTCTCTGTTAACTCAGTACCCAAAACAAAATCAATGACTATGCTTCAAATATATTTATCTACTAGTTTACTGAAAACATGTTATACATTTCTACTAAATAAAAGTGCCTTCTCTGGTGAGTCTTTCAATAAAGGATGTAATTTCTGATTAAAGTATCTGTGGTCCTATTAGGGTTTTTAAAGAAATGTATATATTAAAGTAAAAAAACACCAAATTAAGCATTACTTTTTGTCTGCTCTCTGTTTCAACAGGGTTCCTTTCTGTAAGCTACACTTTTTCTCCCTTTTCCCTTTTCCTACTTTTTAGTTATTTCTTTTCCTTTTCTAAAATTGGTGTGGACAGAACAACTTTGCCATCAGGGACTTGGAGACACTTGTTTTGATGTTCTGGAGCCAGTCTGTACCCACTGACAGACACAAGATTTGTGGGTCAGATCATTGTAGGAAATATGAGCTCAGCCAAATCAACTGGGATCAAAGTCCCGAGCAAGATAGCTAAGCCACCTGGAACTGGAGCGCCTAAAACAAACCCAGTCACAGGTATTCAAGTTTATAGTTCATCTTCATACTAATCCTGAATGCATGGTATTAAATAGGCCAAATCCTTGGGCTTGCACGTTTGGGAAAATGTATTGTTAGGGCTAAATTTTCTTTATTTCTGGTGTTGTTCCTGAAAGGTTGCAGATTTGATACAAACATTGTGAGCATCAAAAAAAAAAAAATTGGCCCTAATTGTGTTGTACAATTTGTGAGTGCTTTGTCTTGACAAAGCTCAGATAGTCCTACATTTCAGTAGTTATAAATGAAATTAATCTTTGTTTATTTAGTGCCTTCTTAGAATTTATTTAATCAACACAGAAGACATTAGATGTTTAGATTTTTGTCAAGCTAAATATGTATCAGTTACAGTAAGAAATTGTTAATTCATCTTGAGAGTGCTGTAGTAAACTGTAATTAAATTAATTTGATGTGTCAGGCTCTATATCTGTTTGACACAAGTCATTCACTTAATGGGAAAACTCTTCTCTTTCTAAACACAGCTAAAGTTACTGGGACAGACAAATCAGCTCCAGGTGCCAGTGGAGGAGATGAAAATAAAGCTGAGGAAAACTTCCAGGTCGGGGAGCGAGTTTGGGTGAATGGAAATAAACCAGGCAACATACAGTTTTTAGGAGAGACCCAGTTTGCCCCAGGACAGTGGGCAGGAATTGTCCTGGATGAGCCGATTGGGAAGAACGATGGCTCAGTTGCAGGTGTGCGCTACTTCCAGTGTGAAGCCCTTCGGGGGATATTTACCCGCCCTTCCAAGTTGTCTCGCACAGAAGGAGAGGCCAATGGAACTCAGACCGCACCGCAGTCCCGTGCTGCGTCGCCCACCCCTTCAGTTGGAAGTGTTGCCCCACAAACACCGGTCACAAACTCCGCAATGCCCACGAGTGCTGCGACAGCTAAGAAGGCCCCTTCCACTTCGACAGCTGCACCATCTTCAAACCTTGCACGCACCAACAGCGAATCTGTCTCCAACCTCTCTGAGAGTGGCTCAGTCAAGAAGGGGGAAAGGGAGCTGAAGATCGGGGACCGTGTGCTGGTAATGTTTGTTGCAGTAACTTTAATACATCGTGTTTTCTTCCCTGAGTGTTTCAGCAAAGTGATTGAACTTTGAAGCACTTCTTGAGTCTGTTAATAACGTCAATGTTTGTGTGAATAGTAAGCCTCAAAGATGCACAACTCATGTCTCAGAAAACATGTATTTTACCCATTTCTTCTTTTCTAAAACTCTTTCTGTAATGGTTAGTGTCTTTCACTGCTGTGCCCAATCTCCATCTGTATAGCATCATCTAAACCAATTTCTAAAATGCTGATAATCTTCCTTTTTCTGAACTGTTTCTCCTATTTTCGATCTTTTCCTGAGCCTGCAGACTGTGTAACTATTTCTGTTAAGAGGAAGTAATGCTCATGCCAGCAGGGCTATAGAGGAAATGTGCTCACCATGATCAGATGTATTTAGTAATCAGTGAATCTATGTATTTTTAAATAGCTGGTAGGAAAAAATGCTTTGATGTTAATTAGCACTACATCTTTCTTTTTTTAAGTTTGAACATGTTTGTTCCTTTTCTAGAACAATCTCACTCAAGATTTAGCAAGAAAAGACGTTTATCTTTTAGGACCATGTTATCTTATGTCTGTTCTCAGGTTGGTGGTACAAAAGCAGGGGTGGTCCGTTTCCTTGGAGAAACTGATTTTGCTAAAGGCGAGTGGTGTGGTGTGGAACTGGATGAACCACTTGGAAAGAATGATGGGGCAGTGGCTGGCACCAGGTACCAAAGCTACATGATCTGGGAATGAGTAACAGAAAAGTTATGTCAACCACACATCTTTTTTTTTTTTTTCATTTTAACACTTTCATTATGATTCTTTTCATTTGTGTCCTTGCAGATATTTTCAATGCCAACCCAAGTATGGCTTATTTGCTCCCGTTCACAAAGTCACACGCATAGGTTTTCCTTCCACAACACCAGCCAAAGCAAAAGCAACAGCTCGAAAAGTAGTGGCCACACCGACAGGGCTGAAGAGAAGCCCTAGTGCCTCATCTATTAGTACCATGAGCTCGGTGACGTCTTCTGTTAGCACTAAGCCAAGTCGAACTGGCCTGGTAAGACAAGAACCCCCTCTATAACAATAAACCTAAGAAGTAAATTCATTCATTTTATTTTGCATATTTGGCATGTTAATGCTACATTTTCTGGTTGTACAGTTAACAGAGACGTCATCGAGATATAATCGAAAGATTTCAGGCACCACAGCCCTGCAGGAGGCGCTGAAGGAGAAGCAACAGCATATTGAGCAGCTAATGGCTGAGAGGGACATGGAACGAGCTGAGGTTGCTAAGGCCACCAGCCATGTTGGAGAGATGGAGCAAGAAATTGGTGTCCTCCGGGACGATCAGGAGCAGGTCATCATACTCACTAACTGAGAATTAAAGTTTTCCCAAGTCACTTATTAGTTTGTGTTCAATTGTGATTTGTCTTTGTGAAGATGGAGACAAAAATGGATCAGCTGCGGGCCTTAGTGGAAGCTGCAGACAAAGAGAAAGTGGAGTTGCTGAATCAACTGGAGGAGGAGCGCAGGTAAGTGTTCAATTTGAGACAAAGACAAACATTCACTCAAATTTTAAGGTTTATAATGTTGAGATAACATCCATTCATCCATCCATTATATATACCTGATAACCAGTTCAAATAATAAAATTATCACTAAAATTATATTTTTGTGTTTAAGTTTTGAGGTTTAGCTAATGTGACAGTTTTTGAACAGTTTCTAGTGCTCATGTTTGTTTTGTCATTAATATTATTATTAGTGAATTATTTTATGTTAATTAGGAGGGTGGAGGACCTTCAGTTTCGTGTTGAAGAAGCTTGCATTACCAAAGGAGACCTGGAGGTAAATGTACAACATAGCTCTTCAAGTATCTTTGCAGCACTGATATTTTCATAAATGAAAACATGGCAGGACTGTGGGATAGAGAACTTGTTTTTCTGTTTAAAAAAAATATTTTTTAATATATCAAGTTAAGCTTCAGAATCAGCTGGAATCCTTTGTCACAGAGCTCTCATCAAGTTGATTCAGGTCTTTTGCATTATCTGTCAGTATCAATAAAAGCTATCCTCTCTGCGCTCCCTAACTGAGTTTGCATGGATAGTTTGATGCTGGCTTCATCTAGTATTAGGAGAAGAGCTGTGAAATGCACGCAGCAGTGAAACTCCGGCTTTATGACAAGAGTTTGCCCAAATAGGAAATAAATGTCTAAACACCAGATTTAAAGTCATACTGCTAGACTTTTTACTACAATCTTAACCTTGTACCAGTCTTGTGTAAAATACACAAATACTTGCCTTTAGACAAGTTTTTTTTGAACTGCAGTAAATCCTAATTTTGTTATTTTGTAACTATTGTAATACAGTAGTCCCCCGTTTATCGCGGAGGTTCTGCGAAGTAGGGATACAATAGTCTAAGTTCAAGTAAACTTTGTCATTACCATCTCATGTGGTAGGTACATGAGATGGAATGAAATTATGTACACAAGTAGTAGTATTAGTAGTAAGTTTAATTTTGTATTTACTGTAGTAGTAAGTAGTATTTTATTTTAGTATTTATATACATTTATATATTAAGGTGTTTTAAATCCTTCCCACACTCTTGCAATGTCCCTAACAATTTTCTCAACTCTAAACGCTCTAAAAGAGCACAACATGTTATGATCTCAGCTCTCTGCCTCCAGCTGCAGCTGTGGGCTGCACACAGGTGCAGCAGGTGCTAAATCATTTTAAATAATTTATTTTAAATAAAAATTCCATGCCGATTGTGCGGCTCATCCATCAATCAGCCAATTGTGCATCATGTCCAATCTTACTTTGAATAACCGAGATAGAGCAAGTCTGCGAAAAACGAACCGCGAAGTAGCGAGGGACTACTGTATAGAGCAATATCAATTTGGCTCCATTTATTGTAATTCTGGTCATTTTACAGGACACCCCCCCCCTTAACAATTTATTTTACAATAAATTTAATTTTTTTTTATTTACAACAAAGTTGTAATAGACAGTGTTAAGGAGCCCAGCAGTTTATGTTCATTCCTGATCAAGTCATTTATTTATTCCACAGAGCTGCACAGGGAATCACCCTAACTACCCTGAGGACATCCAGGCTTGAAATAAATCTTGAAAATTAGAGCAACAGGGTTAGAAAATCCCCCCCTTTAAAAAAAAAAACTTGTACACTAACAGTTTATTACTTCACTGTTGAGTTGATTACAAAATGCATGCAGCTTGATACACACCAACTAAAATAACATGAGGAGGCTGAACTAAAAACTGTTTTAGCTGCACGCTGTTGAGGTTGTACTAATGTTCAGCTGTAACTTTCAGTGCCTCCTTGTTCAGTGATGTGATCTCTTAACTTTTTCTTCCTTGTCGTTTATGTTGGTCCAATGCTCAGCATGAAACCACTGGATGTGCCCATGTCATTCCTTTCCCCAGTCACAGATTTGAATCCCTTTGGCCTCTTCAGCCAAAGAGGAATAACACTCCTCAGGAATTTAGATTAGTTGTTGATTATAGGTATTGTATTAAAAGTGCACAAATAAATTATAGTTGATCAAGTAAAAATATGTTAAATTGCATCATGAGCCTTTAAATAGGAATTGGTGCTATTCCCCTTTTTAATATGAAACTTAAACTTTAGATTAAAAGCGCAAAACTTTACCAGAAAATTCTATGAAATGATTATTAATGTCACATCACACCAAGATGTCAAATGAGATTTTTTGTTTTGAGCCCAAAACTTTTCTGTGGTTTTTGTTATGTTAGTCACATGTCTGGCCCATGATGATTTGATATTTTCATGCTTTCTCTTCATGCTATGGTGAAGTCATTTAAGTGTGATACAGAATCCTGGTTTAAACTTTTTTGTATATAATAACAGTATTTGTTTTGTTTACCAGGTATCAGTTTTGCATGTTTACAGCTAGACTGCCCCCATCTCCAAACTTATCATGCATACCCATAAATCTGCTTGTCTTGTATTTCCTGCCACTCGTGTGTAAAAGTCCCTGTGTTGAGCTGTCGCTGTACAGCATGAAATTTCTGCATGGGGTTTGTTTACTCATTTCCACCCATCATCACACCTCATCCTTTACCCTCCACCCAACCTCTCCCATCATCACACACAAAGACACACACAAACACACTCTCTATGCTGTTTCCCTCCCTCTCTGTCTGCGTTGGGCTGGCATGTGATGGTGGCACTGGTGTGTTCTTTTCCTCTCCTCCTTGTTTACTAACAGACGCAGACCAGGCTGGAGCATGTCCACATTAAGGAGCTTGAACAGAACCTGCTCTTTGAAAAGACCAAAGCTGAGAAACTCCAAAGAGAGTTAGAAGACACTAGGGTAATGAATTCTGCTCTGGGGTGTGCTGCGTTGGGAAAGAGGGCCTGAACCAGGTATAGAGGGCAAAGGAGTTAGATTTTACTGAGAGGAAGTGATCAGTAATTGGGCTGGTTATGGGCTTGTGGGGACTTGAACTTTTAAAGGATGTGATTAAGTTTAATATAAAAACAGTCTTCATACAAAACATGAATCAATTAATCAGCTTGTACTGTATGCATCTTAGTAGTTATGAATGTTGAAAATATTCTGTGAAAAGTTAGCTGGGAAAATTTAGTTTAATTATTTCTCCAAATTTACCCTCCTGCCACTTAATTTTTTTATTTATACCATGTTCTATTTTAAAACATCAAAATAACAACTTAGGATGGCATCTAATTGTTTTTAACAAGTTGCCAAAAAAAGTGTTTTGCTTGTAATGCTGCTTAACCAGACAGACAGTCTCGTCCCTTCTCCCAGCCAGTCATTTTCTTAGATGTCCTATGTTCTACGTTCTCAGTCTTCCCTGGCATCCATTTGTCCTGCTTTTTGGTGTCCCTGCGTTTTGCTAGTCTAAAACCTGCTCCACTTCCCAGACTACGCATCCTGGTGTTCCTCCATAGTATTAAATTTTCAAGTTTTATCAACATTACTGTTTGGTTGATTTGATCTCTATTTAAAAAAATCAGCACTTGTAAAATGTTTTTAATGAGAATATTCACCCGTCAAAACAAAACTAAATTGGTATATTTAAGCAGCAAAAGGCAGTATTTGTTTTAGAAGCAGAGTATTCAAGGTAGTTGGATAAAAATGAACTATTTTTGTTCATTTCTTTTTAACATAAAGTCAGTAATGGCATAGTGTTCAATAAATACATTTTTAAAATGATTTAAAATGTCTCACTTTGTTAGCTCCATAGTTGACGCCTCCCTAAACAAACTATACAATTCATAACCACAAGAGGACAGTATTATGGCTTCTTTTAGAGGTACATATTTTCATTAGGAAACTGAATGGTTTTTCATCAATTATCAGATTTTAGGAACAGTAACATGTGGCTTTACAAATTAACTTTTTATTACACATGGTACTTGTGTTGACTAGAAAAATGTTTTTAAATGCTAAATTTCTGCTTTTAAAGGTCGCTACTGTGTCAGAAAGATCTCGCATTATGGATCTTGAGCGAGACCTTTCGTTGAAGACGAGAGAAGTAGCTGACATGCAGCTGCGTCTTGGGATCCAACTGAGCTCAGACTCAGACTCAAACTCTGTCTCCCCACTGCTGGAAGAGATAAACTCTCTTAAGGATCAGCTGGCATCTCAAGAAGCTAAATGGCAAGAAGAGGTGGGGAAGTATAAAGAAAGACTAGAAGATCAAGAAAAAACCCATGGTGAAGCAGTTGCACAGATTCAGGCTTCGTCTGTAAAGCTGTCTAGTGAGAAAGAGCAGCTACAGATACGATTAAGCCAAGCTGAGAAGGAGAATGCTGACGCTGTAGAGCTATGGCGTTCCAAATTGGAGTCTGCCTTGACTTCCCACCAACAAACTATGGAAGAGCTGAAAGCTTCCTTCAGTAAAGGTGCAGGGGCCCAGGCAGAGGAGCTTGTAGAGGCCAAAAGTGCTCTAGAAAAGCTCAAGATGGAGCACAAGTTAGCTTTAGATGAGGCTGCAGCCAAACGTGAAGCTGGTGTCTCAGCCTGGACTCAGGAGATGCAGGTCCTGAAGGCACAGCTGCGGTCTTTAACCGAGGACAAGGAGCGACTGGGAGAGTCGCTGCGGTCCGGTGTGGAAAAAGCAGAAGAGCAGCACCTTGTGGAGATGGAGGATGTTCTTGGAAAGCTTCATGCTGCTGAAGTTCGAGTGAAGGAGCTTGAGGAGAAAGAAGCAGTCATGGCACAGCAGGTTCAAGACAAAGATGGAGAAACCAAAGAGCACAAAGCAGAGATAGAGGCTCTCAGCAGCCAGTTAGCACAAAAAAGCCAAGAGTCTGTAACTCTCAAGAGTCAACTAGAAAATGTACAAAATCAAGGAAACAGCCATTCTACACAGGTGGGTTCCTAAACACCACTTGTTTATTTTAAGGACTTTTTTATTTGTTACAATATGTTTGAGCTTTGTTGAGGTTGTTTTTTAATTAGATTAATATAGCTCTCATTTTATGAAATTTTTTTTTTTTTTTAATTTATTGTATGCTTTTACTTGATATATGCTGCAGGTTAATGAACTGAGCTCACAGTTGGGGAGCAAAGAGCAAGAAGTTGTCTCTTTGCAGCAGAGTCTGACGACTGTACAGCAGCAGAAGGACTCTCTGGAACAAGAGCTTGAAAGCTTGGTGGGTTTTGTTTACTTTTTATGAATTTGTACTTTGTTATACCATAAAACCTTGAACAAAAATGTTTTTCTTCACAGAAAAATAAATTGGATGAAAGCACAGAGAAGCTGGCAAAATCAGCTAAAACTATGCAAGGTAAGATGGAATAACGATAACTATTTCACTACAACCTTTTTCATCTGGCACAATTACAGCTTTTTCTCCCCTGCAGAAACACGTGAGAATCTCAGCAAGAAAGAAGAGCAGTGCACATTTTTATCCACAGAGTCGGAGTCTCTAAGGAGTCAGCTTACTGGTGAGCATGCTAGAACTGCATTGTCCTGCTTTTAAATATTCTGTTTACACGTTTGCCATTTTGCATGTTAGTGTATTTTTCCCATGTTAAAAAAAAAAAAGAAGTAAATCCTATAACCAGACTTGTGTTTTAATTTAGGATTGGAAAGGAAACTGAAGGCTGCAGATGAAAAGCTTGAGCAGTTTTCAAAAGATAAAAGTAAGCTGGAAAAGGATATTTTCGAGATGATGAAGACATCTGGTAATAGTTCAGTTCAGCTGACTAAAATGAATGAAGACCTCACACTAAAGGAAAGGTACTAAACCTATTCTCTTATTCTTCTATATTTACTTGGTTATATTACTTTAATAATATCAAATTAGCATGATTAAGATTTTTCCCCCTAATATTATTAATTTGTAGATTTGTTGTTTTTGTTTTGTTCAATGCCAAAGCAGATAATTTTTTCAGTTGTTTTAATCTTTCACTTTATAGTCTACTTTTACTTATAGTCTACTTTCTCTCTTTTGTCATTACGCAGGAGACTCGAGGAGTTGCAGAATCAACTCGCAGAAGAGAAGGAGAAGGTGGCACATTTAGAAGAACTCCAGCAAGAGCAGTCAAAGAAAGAGCAGGAGCTGAAAGAGAATAGAGATTTGCATCTGGTTCAAATAAGTAGCCTTCAGGAGAAAATTAATAACTTGGTCAGTATTTTAGAAACCGTCACAAATTTGTTGAAAATAAAAAATCTGTTTTTAAATTTGTTTAATTTTAAACTGCTTTGTGTAATTTAAGACATTTTAAATGTGTTTTTAAAGGAAAAAAATGTATGGGCAGATTTGGTTCAGACTTGTTTAACAATCACTATTTACACAAGAGAAGGTTTTCACACAGTGTCACCAAGTAGTTTTGTGGAGATATTGTAGAAAAGCTGTTTGGAGAATATGTTGGGTCTCAAATTAATGTTATTGATGTTTGCTTTTTCACTTGTCATCCTGCTACAATGTTCCAGGAAAGTTTTAGTACTGCAGTGCATGTAAAAATCGCTTCAGTCACTGACAGAAAAGGCTTAAAAATGCTGTGTTGTGATTGTTACTTTGCTCTTTTGTTTCTGTTTGATAGGAGACTACACTTAAACAAAATGAGATCCTTGTTGAGGATCTGAAGGCATCAAATAAGAAGTCCCTCTCTGAGGCTTCAGAGCTCATGGAAGTTACCATAAAGAATAAGGTAAACCAGGTAACGTTAATGAAATGTTTTTAATGTATGTAACGACACTGTATGGCTTTAAAAAGTGAATAGTTTGTACAGTAGATAACATTTCATGCATTATATTTATATTTAAATGGTAAATGGACTACTTATATAGTATATCTTTATCGAAATACTCAACACTTTACAATCTGTGCCCTCATTTACCCATTCATACAGCACTCTACTAGATCTATGCATATATTTACTATGTACATATATTTACTATTACTACAGCTTTGATGGAGAAGTTCTGAAACCTGTACAGTCTTTGGGTACTTTAGACCTTATATATCTATATATTTATGAGAGAGGGAGAGAGAGTGCGTGCATGTAAAACCAATTATTCAAGCTACTTCTCAACTCTGCAGTTTAAAGTGTGCATGAAGGTGTGGGGGTTCAGATGTGTGTATCCATTCCAAATCCATTGATCTGTGTTCAGCATTTCATTTTCAGCTATTGTAACTTAAGTTTTTCAGGTGTTTATTATTCTGCGTTTTAGCAGAAGTTTCACTTTCTGCCCAAGATTTTTTGTTGTTGTTCTGCGACATTCACTTGTAATACTGGCATTCTACATTTAATATTTATTATTCATTTGACCAAAAGTCTTAATATTTGTGCAGCTAATTTTAAAGATGCATACATTTTTAAAGCGCTCAAACACTCCCAGATTTTCTGTTTAGGTCAGCTAAGTCTGGTGGATTTATTGTCAGTATTACAAATAAAGTTGGGCTGAGGCAAACATTTTCTTTACATTTTAAAAAGAAATGTGCTATAAGTGTTGGTGTGACATTTTGCCATATTTTTATGCTTTATTTGATATTTATTCGCTACCATATGTGTGTGTGTGTGTGTGTGTGTGTGTGCACATATATACATATATTTTCCCTTCTTTTTTTTTCTTTTACCTTTTTATTTTCCCAGCTCCTTTCTGCTGAGCTTGACTCCTACAAACAGGATGTTGATCATTTGTCAAATAAACTGGAAAAGCAGAATCTAGATCTGGAAAACCTGTTTAAGGAAAGTGAGGATGTTAAAACTGAGAGAGACAAGTTAGAGCAGCAGGTTTCTGAAATGCAGAATAAGCTTTCTGCCCTTGAGATTAGTTGCAAAGAGCTTTCAGAGCAGAATGAAGAGCTGGTAGGATCAAAACATGAACTTTTAAAACATCAAGAGGAACTACTCACTAATAAAAAACAGTCAGATGAAGAGAGAATTTCACTGAATAAGGAAATGGAAACTCTCAAGCGCCTCCTTCAGGAGGCACAGACCGTAAACGAAGAACAGCAGCACAGTAAAGCTGAATATCTGGCTCAAATTGATGAACTTCAGAGACAAAACTCAGAGAAGAACGACTGCGTCCTGAAGCATCAAATAGACATCCAGCAAATTGAGTCTAAAAAGGAGCAGCTGCTTCAGGATTATGAAAACCTCTGCAAAGAAAGGAACCGGCTCGAAGAGGACCTCAGTGAAACCAAATCAAAACTCACATCTGAGAGGGACAATCTTATATTAGAGCGAGATGCAGCTAGAAATGCCAGAAACTCTCTTGATGCAAAAAGTGCCGAGCTTCAGGGCAAACTCAAGTCGCTGACTTTAGAAAAAGAGGATCTTACAATGAAGAATACCCAGCTTCAGGCCCTGACAGAAACACTGACAAAAGAGAAGATCGGGACGTCCTCTGAACTCAGTGCTGCTGCCTTGGACAAAAGACGCCTCGAGACAGAGAAAGAGGAGCTCCAGAATAAGCTCAGCCTTACAGAGAAAGAGTTGGAGAGGATTGTCCGTGAATGTGAGGAGCTTAAAGCCTCTAAAATGAGCCTGTCTCAGTTGTTGGAAGAATTCAAAACCAGCAGTCAAGTGACTGATTCTGAGAGGCTTCACCTTCTGCAAGAAAAAGAGGACCTGCTTGCAAACCAAAGAAAAGTCTCTAATGAGAAACAGGAGCTCCTTGGGCAGGTGGAAGAGATCAGAAAGAAGCTGCATGTCTCAACAGAGCAACTGTCTCGTTCTAATGAGAAGATGAAAGAAGCGTTCTCCTCCTTTGAGCAGGAGAAGCAAACGTTGAGCCTTCGGATTTCAGACACTGAGATGGCTCTGCATGATCTGCGAAAAGAAAAGATGAGCTTGGATTCAGCTGTAGAGCAGCAGAAGATGGATTATGAGCGTTTGGCAGTGGAGAAGGGAGAGTTGGAGGAGAAGTACACAAAGTCCATATCGGAGAAAGAGGCTCTTGCTTTTGAGCGTGAGAAGCTTGCTAGTGACATCAGAACAACTAGGGACCAGTTGGACAGAAATACCAGAGCTAATGCTGACCTTCATCAAGACAAGAACCGTTTAATGACAATGATGGAGGAAGCCAAAAATCAGAAAAACGAGCTGGAAGTTGAAATGACCACCTTGAAACGGGAGAGGACCGACCTTGAAAGTGAACTGCAGAAACTTCGCTCTGATGCTGAAATCCTTGAAAAGACCAAAACTGAACTTGCTGAGCAGAAGAGAATAAAAATGGAGTTTGAGAAATCAAATTTAGATCTCGTTCAACAGGTAGATAACGTTAATAAAAATTACCATCACATTCAGTCGATACAAGCTGAGGCTGAAAATAAAGTGCAGTCTTTGGAGAGGGAGAACCAGGTTTTGCTTCGGGAGATTCAGGAGTTTAAAAATCAGATTGAGTCTGTTTCAGAGGCCAGCAAACTTCTTGAGACAAAGCTACAAGCTGAATACGGTGAACGAAGTAAAGCCACGTTTGACAGAGACGATCTTTCCAAACAACTTGAGGACCTTCAGAAAACGTTGTCTACAGTTACACAGGAACGTGAAGATCTTTCTTCCAGCCTTAAGAATGCTGATGAACAAAAGAGCTCTTTAACAGAGGAAATGCAGACTTTGAAAACCAAACTAATGCAGAAGGAGCAAGAAAATTGTGAACTCGTAGAACAAAAGGAACAGCTGTCATCTAAGCTTGAAGAGATGGACAAACGGATAACTTTAATGGCCACAGAGAAAGAAGAGCTATTCGCTGTGCAGGCTAAGTTGAAGGCTGAAATCTCTTCTCTTAGCTCAAAGAAGGAAAATTGGCTCACCGAACGCTGCTCACTTGTTGACGAGGTGAAGTGTTTGCAGGCTAGCAAGGAACAGCTAGCAGCTGAAGTCGAGGCCCAGCAAACTGAGAGAGAGAAGCTGGAAAAACAGTACAAGGATGCTCTTGAAGAAGAAATTTCCTCCAGCATCTCGGATCTCACAGCTCAGAAGGGTGCCATGCAGGTGGAGAGGGATGAAGCCGCCCAGCGAGTCAGGGAGCTCGAGTCGCAACTAAAAAATGTCCTTTCTAAGCAGCTTGAGGTATTTCTCTTCCTGTACTAATCACTGACTCACACTTTAGAGTTGCTGGGGCTATGCCACCTTCTCACTGCATGTCTGCTGGTTCGTCTCCCTTTTCTTTTTGTGTCTAACCTTCATCTTTCATTTACTAGATGTTGTTTATTATGCTTAGTTCCCAGCTTTTCCCTGTGGGCTTATAACGTGAGCTAATGTCAAACAAAATCCAGCCAGGGTTACACCAATATGGCAGTGAAGCCGTTTTTATCACACACTTAAAGTCCAACAGCTTGCCTTTTAAAGGATATTGATATCTACATATTTACGCAACGTTGTTGTTTTTCTGTCTCCGTTCTGAGGCCACAGGTTGTAAAACCAATATTTTAGAGTATACACTGTTTTTCTCTTTTTAGAGTATATACTGTTTTTCTCTTTTTTTTGCAATATTTTTCTTATTTATAAGAGTGTACCAGAATCTGGAAAGTGTTGGTACACTGCACCAAAATTCTTATTTTAATCTTCTTAATTGATTGAAGAAAAATATGCATGTGTGTAGGTAATTATTCCAATAGTAATAAAATGATTTGGTTGCTCCAAATTGTGCATTCAAATAGATGGAAATTTTCCTAAATTCTCCCAGATTGAAACCAGTGAATGTTTATCGATGTGTTGTTTGATTTGAACTAGTTGGTCTTAGTAAATGTTCTGCTTTAGGCTGCCGAGGCTGCAGGGAAGACTTCTGAAGCTCTTGACCTGCTGACGAAAGAGAAAGCCGTTCTGTTGAAGGAGAAGAACGAAGCTCAGTCCCTGCTGGAGGAGCTCCAGAGCTCAAAGGAGGAAATGCAGACCCAGGTGAGACAAGTTTTAGCCAAAAACATTAAAATAATGACTCAGGTTTGTCACCAACACTGACATTAATATTTGTTTGATATTTTTCTGTTATAACATTTATATAAACATTGTTTTAGTTGGAAACTTTGGGGAAAGAGAATTCCAAGTATCAAGAGGACCTGAACGTGTCCAAAGAGCAGCTTTGCACAGAAACACAGAAGATAAAGAGTTTATGCCAAGACATGTGAGTTAGCAAGACATGTAAACAATTAGCAGTCTACATTATTACATCATCACATATGAGGAGTCATTCACAAGCTAACATATGTTCTACACAAATATTTTTATTTAACCAGTGAGGAACTTAAAGAATTGGTTTCTGTGAAGACACAAACCCTGCAGACGTTGCAAGATGAGAACAGCCGGCTGTCCCAGCAGCTTCATAACGGTCACAAAGACCAGAGTGAACTTGTAGCGGTGAGACATTAAAACTGTTGGTGCTAATATTATTAGTGTTTTGTATACTAACACTAATATTATGTTGGTGTTAGTATTTGTAAATTGTTGACCATGTATGAATTTCACCTATTTCTCCACAGCTACAGGATGAGCATTTAAAACTCAAAAAAGAGCTGGAAGAGTTGAAACAAAGGTAAATTATTCTTTATTTGTTGTTGCTATCCAGGTTTTGTGTGACATTTGCACAGTTGATCTTGTTATAGAGTTTTTAAAAGCAGGTTTGTTTCATCTGCTTGGCACTTACACGCAGTGCATTGAGGATAAAATGGCTGTTACAGTATTTTTCTTTCTTCTTCAAAGCCTGCCAAATAATGCCTTCAGGTACTTGATGTCTTTTTAATGTCTTGTCATCATCACCTCATAAGACAAATGTGTTGACCGTGTAGCTCTCAGCACATCATAGATCACCTGCTTGACAAATGTGGCCTCTGGTTCTCACCTTTGATATGTGCCATTGTTTCTCTTACATTTATCAACAGTCAGCTCAAAAAAGTTTTTTGTCTTCTTGCATATCTATTGTGATCAAAAGACCATTAAATTGTTTGCTGTCCTAAATTGGAGAGCTGTCATAAAAACATTTTTTGTGAAGAGAGTTAAATGATCTTTTTAATATTTGCATGTCGTACCTCCCGACTTTGTGTTGAACAGCGAAAGCACTTTGAAGGAGCAGTCGGACAAGGAGAAGGCCACCCTCCAACAGTCCATCTATAAAACAAGTGCCTTAATCTCAGAAAAGGAGCAGCAGGTGGAAAACCTGAAGAGTGAGGTAAGAAACTGGTCTCTGATTTTTACACTGTAGTTAAAACGGGTGGTTAGAGCAGTCGTCCCACAATGAGAGAGTTGGGGGTTTGATTCCATCAGTATGCTGTCGAAGTGTCTCTGGGTAAGACACTGAATCCCTCATTGTCACAGATTGTGTTGTAAACACTTTGAGTAGTCTAGTTGTCTAAAAAGGCATGCGATTGACAGAACTGTTTAGTATGCAGCTCAGAAAATTAAACTAAATATGCTTTTTTATTTATTTTTGTTGGCTAGGAAGACATGCCAACATTTCTGCCCACTTTCAGCTAGTGTGGTAGTCAACTGGGTGTCTTTCATTTTATTTTTTAACTCCAGCCACACCTGGGCTTAACAGCAACTCTTCCCATTTGTTTCATTGAGCCTGATGCAGTGCTGATAAATAATTTAGTAATCTGGACAGTAGATCCTTGGGATTCAAAACACAACTGGTTAGAACTATATTTTAAAAGAATAGATACAAGGACCGCATGTCGGTGATGCACCTCCTAGCATCATCTCATTTACAGGTTTTAAATAAATCAGACTAAACAGGCACGTTTCCGAACAGGATGCCATTTCTCAGTCAAGTAATGACCTGCTTTCATTTTTGTGTGCTTTCAAATATTTTCCTCCAAACCTAAAAGTTCAGCTTTGAAGAATGTCAGTCGGAAACTTCAGTTTCTGGTGCAAACGAAGTGACACATTTCTCAGCAGAATCGGACCAGATCTTCTAAAATCTGGTGTAGATTTTTGCATGAGGAAGACTGAACTCCTAAATCTAGACTTACTAAACGAGTACGCAGATTGAATTAATGTTTGTATTAGCGTCTGTTTTGTTAACATAATTTAGGAGACAAAAGAACTGTACCATACCATCTGTATTTGATAAATCTGGTTGTTTTCTTCAAAGCTGGCTGCAGTGCGTGAAGAAAGTGCCTCAGTTAAGAAGTTGCAGAGTACAATTCAGGCCTTGGAGCAGGACAAAGCTTTTCTACGGGAGCAAATCCAGAGACTAGAGAAAGACCTCACTGCTGGACCCGACGATGTCAACAAGGCTTCAGGTAACACTGGAAGTAACTATAAAACACTCAGTTACAGCTCTTGGATCAATCCTTGTGTGAGCTGAAAAACAAAAGGATAATAATCTGCTTGATCCGTTTTCCAGGTGATGTGATTTTGGACCAAATGAAAGAAGATAGAGAGACTGCAGAGGGTCAGGTGTGTACTGTTCCACTTAAATAATAGGAATTTTAGGCTCTTTTTTTGTATATATTTGAAATTATGCTTTCCTAACCTAATGAGATCTTTTTATTGGGTTTTTGTCAGTGTTTTTTGAGATCTTACTAAATGCCATTGGTATAATTTGTCATTGTATAATTACTACTCATGTACGTCTAAGCGCTTATCATCTGGATTTTATAGGTTATGACGGCTTTGTTTTACAGAGATAAGTGTTAAAACTAATAAAAACATGTCGCTTCTGACATGACGTCAGCTTACAGCGATTCTTTGTTCATCAGTATCTTTTCACCACCGAGAGGTATTTCAGCAACATCAGATTATAATGTTCCATCAGCGTGTCAACTTTCACTTACAACTTGTTTATCCAGAAATGTTACGTGTTCCTGTTGACATGAGTGGGTTGTCTGGAAGAACGGGGATCCTAATTGATGTTTTCATGTTGTTTCTTTTTTTTTTCTTTTTCCTAAATTCAACTCTTCACTTCTTCCCTGTTTCTGATGTTGGCTACACCACCATCAGGCAGCGGTTTGTTGATGCTTTTCATCAGCTTCATTTGTGCATGTCGTTCACTTGTCTCATTCAGTCACGTTGTGGTTGGTGGGGAAAATATTAAACCGTCGTCTGAAGATGAATCAAGCTTGATGCGCTGATGAAGCATCCACTCTCTAATGCAGTGCTTCTCAATTATTTTCGGTTACGCCCCCCATAGGAAGAAGTGAACATTTCGCCCCCCAACTCTCTGCCGCGACTGTAAATAGTATAATTTGTCTAAAATATTGTTATAAGTACACCTGCATAACATTGCACCCTTATTAACATTAAATTAAAAAAGATAGAAATATAGATCAACTTACAACAAAATTATTAATGCGCTCACAAGAGAAGAGCCTGACAAGTTGTTTAATGACAAAATATATTTTGTTAGCAAAGAATAGTCCTAACATTTGTTAAACATCTGTTTTTATAACAAATTTTAAAAACATCAAACTTGTGCTGTGACAATCGATAAAACTAAAAAATTTTGTCAACGCGAAAGAGGAAAGAGGGGGCAGGTGTTGCTCTCGCGTTGACTTTATACTCTTTGTTGCTGCGTGCGGTGGGTTAAATGCGTCCAGAGCGGAGGACTTGTTGGCAAAGAATAGAGTCCTAACATTTATTAAACATTACTTCTGTATTTAAAAACACACATTGTGCTTTGACAAACTAAAATAAATTGTTAAAGTAAAGGAGGAAGAGGAGCAGGTAACGCTCTCGCTTTGAGTTTATTCTCTGTCGCATGCGTCGCATGTGGTGACAAGCGTCCAGAGCGTCACCAGCTGAGGTGTCACAGCGACACGGTTCAATCACGGCTCCCAAACAACAAGACAGACATATTTGTTCATAACTTTATTATTAGTAAGACTGAGAGTTGACGGATTTGAGCAAACAGTTGCTGAACGCACCCTGACACAATGAGAATGGTGAAAAAAAAAAAAAAGAACTAATCCCTGCCGCAAAATGTTCCCCGGGGTCACATGTGCCCTCCCTGGCATTGCTCCCCCCCCCCCCCCCCCTCCAGGGGGGGCGCCCCACTATTTGAGAAGGACTGCTGTAATGAAATCTAAAAGATTATCAAAAATGCATAAAGGACATCTGTGAAGTTGGTTTGAATCATTTGGGTATTTTTCTGGCTCTCCCAGTGACTCATTTCAAGCTTTGATTTGTCTTTGATGACAACTCGCAGCAAACCAAATTCATTTTTGGGCCAGGGGGTATGACGACACAACTATTATGTAACTTTTTTCTACAACTATTATGTTCGTCCAAAAACCACGATACTAGAAAATAAAATGCACTAAATTACAAGTTAAAAATATATATACTAAGATGCATTTGTTACATTATAGATCAATATTTGCCAAGACCAGAATTTATGCCACATTTCTATACATTTGTTTTATTTATTTTTCCACAGATTGAGTTCCTGAATTCAGTCATTGTTGACCTTCAGAGGAAAAATGGGGAACTCAAAGACAAACTGGAGAAAATGGCAGCTGCTGCTCTCAATGGGAACGATCCGAGTGAACTAGATAACAGTGATGGGTAAGTCCCATCCACAGCAGAAGCTCGTTTTATCGTCTCACTGGACTCATTTTCACTCTTGGCTGGTTTCTTGTCGTCCTTGCGCAGCTTTGAGAATCAGCCCGTAAAGAAAAAGCCTCCCCCGAGACTGTTCTGCGACATCTGCGACTGCTTCGACCTCCACGACACGGAGGACTGTCCCACTCAGACGCAGATTCCAGATTCGCCTCCTCACACCACCTACCACGGCAATAAGGATGAAGAGCGACCCTACTGCGACATCTGCGAGGTCTTTGGCCACTGGACCGAATCCTGTAACGATGACCAGACCTTTTAAAAGCCTTTGTAAACTCGTTCGCACAATCAGTAAATTTGCACATCATGTTCGGTTACGCTCTGCTTTTCAGCTCCTAGACCTACTGTTTTCTGTGTGCTCGTTTCTGCCAAGTGTCTTTGTTGTCCACGCCAGCCTTTAAGCTCTCCTGTCAGAGCAACCATCAGAGCTTTCCGAGACATCCAGAAACGCGTCACATTGAAGTTTTTGTTTGCAATCGTAAGTGACTTTCAGTGTCCTGGACTAGTGTTGAGTGGGAGAGCTCTGTAAGTGGATGTACTGGTCTGAGACGAGCGTTGGGCTTCCTCAGATCAGATAATTTATCAATATTTGCACAGATTGTCCGGGGCTACAAGAATAAAATGGTATAAAAAGTGTTTATTTGAAGCTGTACAATACTTGATTGAAAAACAAATGTCAGATTGTGCAAAAAAGAAAATGGTGAGCTAAAGTTTATTTTTCTATGTTTGGAAATGCTATGTACTCTTAAATGGTTTGATAATGTGTCATTTTATGATGGAAGACAATTTGCTCACTGCTGTTTGGAGTGAAGCAGTAAAACTCACTTTTTTTGGCTTTAATGGGAGTTTTTTTTATAGTTTCCTTTAAATGGATTGCTGGAAGATTGGTAAGAAACTTCACGTTTACTGTAAAACCTCACCTACCCTGACTTTTAAAGACATTTCTTATGGATTTAGTTGTTTGCATTGGAAAAAAATATTTGGCATCTCTTTCGGTATGTTTTAAAGATCTGTATAAAAATAAAGTTTATGGTTAAAGTGTTCTGTCCATCTGCAGTTTTTATTAAGTAATGTTTATAGTTATTAGAATATTAAACATGAAAACTTGTGCTTACTAAAATCTAAATGACAAAGAAATGCAGCTCCAACTGATCAACTTATAAAACTTGGTAAGTGTGGGTGGGGAAAAGAATTAATTTTCTGCAACAAGTGGGGATTTTCTTTAGTTTTGGTCAAAAAGGAGCAGTGGAAGAATTGTTTTAATGTCTTTAAGATATTCTGCATGTAAAGCAGTTTGAAGCGACACTCAGTTCACTTCTGTTGCAATTTATTAGCAAGTCTATTATCAGCTGACCCCTAATCAGGTCTGCATAATGTGTAATGTACTTTTAGTTTTTGTTTTTTCCAAAACACAATTGCAACAAATTGAAGGTCATTTTGTCCCATTTAAATGGCAAAGGAGTGTAAACTTGTGTTGGTTTACAAAATGAAGACAAACCCAGAGTGTCTGTAAGGAAGTCGTCTGAGCTGCAGTAACGCACAACCTGTTTATGTACACGTCTCTCAACAAATTTGAATATTGTGAAAGTTTTTTTTTTTTGTCATTTCAGAAAGTGAAACTCAGATTCATTACACTTGGAGTGAAATATTTCAAGTGTTTATTGTAATTTTGATGATTATGGCTTACAGTTACGAAAAACCAAAATTTGTTTTGTTATTATTCCTCAGCCAGCTTGTGGTACCTTTGTCAGTGTGGGCATGCAGGAGCTAATTCCTGCTGGAAAATGAAATCAGCGTCTCCATAAAACTCGTCAGAAGAAGGAAACATGAAGTCTCTCAAATGTCCTAAGACTGTGGTGCTTGAATATTCTATATTTCTGCATAAATATGACCTAAAATATCAGATTTTCACACAAGTCCTAAAAGTGTAAGAGAACCCTGTTAAATGAGACAAATATATATATATATTTATATATATATATATATATATATATTTGGCCATTTATTGAGGAAGATTATCAATATTATATAGTTGTGAGTGGCAAATGTGAACCTCTAGGATTATCAGTTAATTTGAAGGTGAAGTTAGAGTCAGGTGTTTTCAGTCAATGTGATGATGATCAGGTGTGAGTGCACCCTGTTTGATTTGAAGAACAGGGATCTATCAAAGTCTGCTCTTCTTGTGGAGAGACAGAAACAATAGAGCATGTCATTTTAATTTGTATGAGAGAGAAAGAAGATACATGATGGAGGAATTTAGAAAGATTAAATAAACATTTAATATCACAAACATACTACAAAAAGAGTCAGGAAGTAAAGTGTAAAAATTTTGGTAGGGTTCTTCATTAAAACAAAGCTGATCTACTTGAGGAGTTTACTGCTTGGTGGGGAAACAGTTTACTGGAACTCCTCAGACTGATGAAGCCCTCCGGATGGAGGGTGAAACCTCTCCATAAAAAAGAAACTGTCCAGATGACCTGACTGAGAATAATTGGATTTGATACCTGGATGATTGAGCATGAACTTTGTTGTCACACCATAAGTTGTTTGATAACCACCAATAAAAACTGAAGAAGAAGAAGTCTGCTCTTCACAACATGTTTGTGGAAGTGGATCATGACATGAACAAAGGAGATTTCTGAGGAGCTCAGAAAAAGAGTTGTTGATGCTCATCAGGCTGGAAAATGTTACAAAACCATCTGTAAAGAGTTTGGACTCCACCGATCCACAGTCAGACAGATTGTGGACAAATAGAGGAACCTCAAGACCATTGTTACCCTCCCCGGGAGTGGTGGATCAACAAAGATCACTCCAAGAGCAAAGTGTGTAATAGTCAGCGAGGTCACAAAGGACCCCAGGGTAACTTCTAAACAACTCTCTCACATGAATGTTAATGTTCATGAGTCCACCATCAGGAGAACACTGAACAACAATAGTGTGCATGGCAGGGTTGAAGAAGAAAGTCACTGCTCTCCATAAAGAACATTGCTGCTCGTCTGCAGTTTGCTAAAGATCACGTGGACAAACCAGAAGAACGTTTTGTAGATGGATGTGACTGCTGCTTTCCTCCATAAGAACCTTATCCCATCTGTGAAACATGGTGGTGGTAGTATCATGGTTTGGGCCTGTTTTGCTGCATCTGGACCAGGACAGCTTACCATCACTGATAGAACAATGAATTCTGAATTATATCAGGGAATTATAAAGGAAAATGTCAGTACTTCTGTCCATGAACTGAATCTGCATGTACATGTTTCTACCTCATGTACTAATCAACATGTGTCTCTAGTCTTGTCTCTTAATTACGTTTAGATTGTAATTTTTAGATTTTGTTCAATGTTTGCATTTATTATAGGTGGTCTGTTTGTATTCATTTTACTATTGCATATATGCACTGGAGGTTTTTTTTTTTTCACACGTTATGTTCTGTGTTGCACCGTGATCCTGGAGGAACGCTGTTTCGTTCCAGTGTGTACTTGTACATGGCTGAAACGACAATAAAGCCTCTCTGACTTTTAAGGATCATTTAAATGATCTTTTTCTGCACATAACTATACTGCTAAAAGTAGAGAATTGTTGTTGGACAATTTTAATATTTATTAACAGCCTCTGCATACATTGTAGATGTTCATATAGCCCTAATTCAGAAACTAATCGCACATTTTAGCTTCTACTTGGTGGAAACTTACATTGTCTTGGTATTTTTTCACATTACATGAACACAAATACTTCTTATAGGTTTTGAGCAACCTTGAGGAGTGAATTCTGAAACACTGATCAAATACTACACCTTGATGATAATCTTACTTTTTTAGAGCAGACTTAATCGTAGTCTGCTGGTCATTAAAAACCTATAAGGACAACAGCACACCAAGAGCACTGAACTGAACGTTTTGTATTTTCAACAACCTGCTCTGAGTTCATTCAGTTCTTGAACTTGAGCGATTTTGTTGGGTTGGTTTGAGATGTTTTGCTTCAGATGCAGACTGCCATTTCTCCAGCTCCACACGCAGCTCCACAGTTACTGGTTCCAGTTGAACACATGCAGTTTCGTCTGTGTGGGCGATCACGTCTTGTCTTTCGGGTTCTTTCTTTTTCCCTGCAGTGAACGTCAAACAGGACTCATGAAAACATGAGCACAGAGAAAGCAGGAAGAGTTTACCCCATCTGTACGGAGTTATCTTTAAAGACTTTATATTAGATTTTTTTCTAATTTACTGCAGAACTTCTTGCGGTTTGACCTTTTGAAAGAACTTTGTTCTTCGTCATTTTGCCACTCTCTCCTCTCTGATTTTGTTTCTTGTCTTCCTTCTTCTTTTCTTCTTTAATCTTGTTTCCATGTTCCTTAAAACATGATCAAATACAGAAAACATTTCAATTAAACTTTGATCTCCCGGTTAGTGGGCCTCATATGGACCATCATATTTCAGTCCTGGATTTGGTGTGTGTCTAAACTTACCTGTTGAAGTGTCTGTTCAGCTTCCTCGTCATCTGTGCGCAAAGGACCAAAGTCACAGATGACGTTGACCTTCTGACCTCCTTGGACCAGGCTTTGCAGTGAGACGTGTGCAGAGCCGAGGGTTCTGCGGACAGGGTGGCCTTGGACCAGATCTGGTACAGATTTTCTCTTTTTGTCTTTAGGTTTGTCTTTGGTGGTAACTGGTTTAGCTGGAGACTGGAGATTAAGGCTGGATATGTTAAACTGGAAGAACCTTATCTGCCACATTAAGAAGCTTAAAGCAGTGGTTCTCAAACTGTGGACCCTGGACCCCGGGGGGTCCGCCAGCTAGTGCTTGGAGGTCCGCCAAAAAAATAAAAATATATACACACAAAAATATATACACACACACATATATATTACAAGCACATGTATCATGTACTGTACATGTTTAACAACCTGTTAAAATACACCAAAGTGCAGGAAATCACATCTATTCAAAATTTTCTAGGGGAGGACCCCCAGACCTCCCCCCACCGTCCGCTTTAATGCATTCCGGCATCGATCGATTTATAAATTAAGTCCTGTTACTTCTGCTGTTATGATTCTGTTCAGATTTATGTAAAGAGTTTTCTGTAATAATCTGAAGAAGTGGCAATACTTTTATTATGTTCATTAAGTGAATAGGTAAAGTTATAAAATGGTGTTTGATACTGTTAGTTTGGTCAAAACTGTCGTTTTTGGAAGTTGAAATTAATTTTGTTAATTAAGAGTGTCTTGAATGAAAAATACCCCATGTTTTAAAGCATCAAATTGTATTAACCCTATTAAAGAGCAGGTCTTAAGTATTTATGTTACACAAACATTTCCAGGGAATTAAAAAGAGACAAATTGAAGAAAATTATTTAATAGACACGAGGGTTATGATGGGGTCCCAGAACCCAAAAAGTTTGAGAACAATGTTGTTATTGATTCTAATCAGCTGCTGTCTTTAATAAAGGAACTGCTCCACCCGTCCCTGACGTAACATAACTCTGCTCATGCAGCCATTTCTAAATCAGGCATGAATTTTGCAGTGAGTAACAGGAATGAAACAGTTCGGCATTTCCTGACAATCAACAGGATCACGAGCTCAATGCTGCTCGTCTACATTTTGTAGTTTTGTGGGAAATAAATGAGAAACTCACTTCTTCCTTCTTCCCTCTCTTGGCTTTTCCAGGTCCACTTGGTTTCACCACCGGCGCACCTTCAGAGGCTGCAGGCCACGACAAGATCTAAATATCAAGTGTCAAAATGGAAAGTTTACATCACTTTTTTTCTTAACATGATAAAAAAAACAAAAAACACCTACCACACCTTTTCCTCCTCCAGCCGGAGATAAAGTCCTTGATTGAGAAACTTCTTCAAGTCTCCCAGAGAACTAACGGTGAAGGTCTGTGTGTCGCTGAAGTCCACGAGCTCGGTCCACGACAGTTTGGACGTGTTGTGTTGTGACACTGTGGAACAAAAGATCAAAATCAACTTTCACACACAGAGTCATGGCTGACGTATAGAGACGATGTTTGACAGCTGATAAAAGGACCAGCCATGTCACCCACCCACCCCCACCCCCCACCAGGTTTTCTGAGGAGGTGTGCTGCTGACAACACGTCCACCCCCACTCCACAGAATAATTCTGAATAATTCAGAACAATTCGTTGTTGCATCAAAATGGCACAGTTTCCTTCTTCCTGCATTGTCACTTTATTTCTCTTTAAAGCTCATGTCAGCATCATCACTTATTGTGCAATAATTTAGGTTTGGAGATGGTTGTGTTTCAGGTGATTCAGTTATTCTTACAGCGTTCAATTCCTGCATATGTTTCATCCGAGCTGAAAGTGGAAACTCCAGTGTCTGGTGTGGACGCCCCTCCTTCACACTTCATTAGTTTGTCATCTTTACTCTCTTCTGTCACACCAAGTGTGGACCTTGTGTCAGGCTGGGACGCACTGTCCAGTGTCTGTGAGAGACACACACACAGACAAAAGTAGGACTATTAAAAATAATCAGATTCTATTTGTGTTTTAACTGTGAAATTCACACATAATATAGTTGTTTTTGATCCACGTTCTAATTAATGCTTGTTCGTTATAATCATCATGCAATTACATTTAGTGTCTAGACACTTTGAGACTTTAGACCAATATTGTGGCAATTAGTTTTGACAAAGGTTTAATGAGAGATTTGCATAAAATAATTGTTGAGATTGATAAGTTGTTTTCAAACCAGCTGATTAAAAATAAACTATTTCTCATGAGTTATTGAACAAAATTGGCACAAAAAAAATCTCAAAATATATAAAATTAAGTTGTAAGATTTAGCTGATAATGAAATTTGACATTATCATCACATCAAAACACATTTTATAAAGGGTGACCTTTAAACACAATTTCCCTTTTAATTGCAGAGATGTGACAAATAAATAAGCTTAATTTGAAACAATCACTTCACAGCTCATTAAAAACAACAGAATATGTTATAGTAATTATTTAGTTTTTTTTTTTATTGAACATATAAATATTGAGCATTATTTAAGCTGGACTTAGAGGGACCACAAACATTTCACTTATTATTTTGTATTTACATATTTAAAAAAAAAAATTGAATGGTAACAAAGGCAAAATGTGCGAATTGGTATTTTGATACATTAAACAAAGCTGCAAGTCAGTGATGTTAATTTAACAACTGAAATGAGAAGTAAGGCCAAAAAAACACATTTGTGGTTAATTTACTCAGAACGGACCCTTTCGATGATGCACATACTGATGAGATTAAAAAGTGTATGAAAAATATATCACCAGCTTATTGGGCGTCGAAGGACTAAGGAACTGGTACGTGATGAAATAGCTGCAAGTAATGAGTGGAAAATCAGGAGCATTTTTATTCGCAGCCATCAAAGGGTCTGGGATTCCCCTCAGTCTGCTCAGGCTCACCGTGATTGAAGCGACATTTACAAGCAGACCTGTACAAACAAATAATCTGAATATTACAAAAAGGTCCACTTTATATACAAACTAATTGACATAGTAGGTGAAAAGAGCCTCCGCTTGCAGATATTCTTCTGGACAGGTCAGCGTACGCTCTTACCGCTCATCGTGGCCAAGCCTCTGAAAGCATGCCTTTCCTCAGCAGAGATCCACGAGGCGTCTAAATAAGTGAGCTGTGGGAGACTGTCCACAGTGAAGCCAGGATACGATGGTGCAAGAGTGAACGGGTTGCCAAAAAGAAACAGTGTCTTCAGGCATGGGAGGGTGCTCAAAGTGCTCAGCAGGGCCTGTTGGTCCTGAAACTCACAGTCGCTGAGGTCCAAACACACCAGCTGTGGCCTGAGGTCAGAAAATTTCCAAGATTATAGAAAAAAGATTCAAAACTTTTAAAAAAGGCCACAACATTTAATGAAACTGTTAAAAGCAAAACAGATAAATAAATAATAGAGTAATTTAGTTTATAAGCGTATAATCTGCTATTGCGTTAGTCGTCACTTTTTACTCTGAAAAACACAAATGAGCAATAAAAAATATGGACAAAGCAGGTTTTATACAATATGATATGAAACAATACGGTACGACATGATACAATATGTTGTGGTGCAATGCATTGCAATAAATATCATTCTGGTAAGATATGGCATATGATACAAAATGACATGATATGGCACAATATTTATTTATAACATTTATTCATTCATTATTTAAAACAAAACAAAACAATTCCATAAACAATAAGAAATACAATCAAAAATAAAATGAAAGGCAGCAGAAGGAAGAAAAAAATCTTATTCATAATTATATAGAGTCAGAGATTCTTTATTGTCATTCACACAACATGTGCTACAAGTGGTGGAACAAAATTGCCCAGTTTCATCCAACAAAATTATAAAATGTAAAAGAAGAACAGTAAAATGATCTAAGATATGAGCTAAGAAAAACATCAGCTAAAAATACGCTAATCACTAATAGCATAAAAACAACACGCAGAACAGCAGCATGAACATGAGTCTGTGTGAGCCGATGAGCACGAATGAACACAGCAACATGAAACAGATCAGCAGCAACATGAAAGAGATCAGCAGCAGCATGATGTGATTCTTCACAGTGATTGTTCTGGTTAGAGATTCATGAGTCTAACAACCTCAAGGTAGAAGCTGTTCCTCAGTCTAGTGGTTCTACACTTAATGCTCCTTAAGTTCCTTCCTGAGGGGACCGAGGCAAAAAGTGTGTGTGCTGGGTGAGTAGGGTCCTTCATGATGCAGGAGGCCCTCTTTCTACATCTGGAGGTGTAGATGTATGTGATGGTGGGGAGACTGACTCCAACAGACTTCTGTGCAGCCTTCACCACTCTCTGCAAAGCTTTTCTTTCTTTTTCTTTTCTTATACATTTATATATATATATATATATATATATAAATACAACTTGACACAATGCATTTCAATGATATGAACGATACAATATGTTGGAAATTATTTTACTTCTCCTCTTTGTTAAATTTGTTGTCTTAAGCTAAACAATCTGAGCTCAACAAGTAAAAATGTGTCGGTCACCTTCGCCTTTGGCGCTTCATTTGTAGCATCGGTAAACAAAATGCTGAGCTTTTGTGTAAAGCAGAACTCTTCTGGCATCAAAACCACACAAGCGTGTGTCTGAGTTTGTTTTCTGTGTTAGCGTCTTCACTGATAGAGCACTTCGTGTGTCGGTGGGTGTCACCACTGAAAACTGCTGCCAAATCAGAAAAGCCTCCAGAGAAGCGCCCTGGCTTGACGGGGTATCACGGTCTGTCCTCGTCCATCTACAAAGCCAACTGTAAAGCCAAAAGCTGTCACCGTGCTTTTGTTTGACCTGGTTTTGGGTTACCTCTTCAAAAAAACCAACAACTTCCTGTGTGTGCGTTTGTGTGAACTAACCAGTGACTTCCTGTAAGATGAGTTGCGTCTTTATGGGAACCCAGACTGTTTGAGCCAAGGCCGAGATACTGCAGCCGGGGAGGCGGATGCTTTGTGAGACCGTTTAGAGAGGATACACGGTTTGCTCGTACATCCAAAACCTTTTAAAAAAAAGCTTTTATTTTTTATCAGTCACTCAAGCTAATAGTTTCAGATATTAATCTGCTTCACAGATTTTCAATTTTCCAGTGAAGCGTTTCACCCTAATCTGAATCTCAAGACACTGAATAGCTTCCTGCTCTGCATGCTCAGCTGAACGAGTCCTCACTAACATGTTGAAACAGCTGAAGGTCTGAAATTATTCTTCTGAACTGCAGAAAGACGTTGCATCATCACTCTGGTGAGGCTTGATGACTCACCTTTAAGGTACAGGGAAGATTCTCTGCAGGAATTTCTGAGATTACATTAGCGCTCAGCACCAGTTCCTTCAGTTTGGAGAACCTCAGCAGGCCTTCGTCAATAACCGACACCTGCAGCAACACAAATTTATGCACTGACTTCAACTTTCTCTGCAAGACCATTTGGCCTTTCGTGTCCTTCAGACTTTAGAGAACATCTGGAAAGCTTCATATTAATTGTGGTTTGGGAAGTGATTAGGTAATATTTGCACACAACCTCGAATTTAGAGAACGTCATGACCAAATAATGATTGCTCTTAGTAAAAGTAAATTAGTCCAGGTTACTTCAAGGCCCATGGGCCAGATTGCCTCCAAAATGATATATAAACGTCATTAGATCACAATGAGTCTATGATTCTTGTTTTGTTTATAAACTGAGTTTAGTGCAGACAGCCAACTTTGAAAGCTAGCAAATAAAGTTTAAAATTTAAAACTTTTGATTTTGACCGAACAATAACGTCTGATAGGACCAATCAAACTTTTGCTGAGGAACTTACAGCCAAGAAAAGATGTCAGAGATCTGACTTAAAGTCATGTACATCAGAGCTACAGAGGGCCTGCTGGTTATTTTTGTCTGTATTTGCTTATAAAGTGTGTTAATTAGCAGCACATGTTTGGATTTTATTACAGTTTTGTGTTGAATTGATGAAGTATTGCACCTTTAGATTGAAAAAACTGATGACACTGTTAAAGAAAACTTGTTAAACAACTCTCACTTTACTTTTGTTATGTCTTAAATGTGCTAAAGTTCAAATGAATGAGAACCATTTTTGTCACATTAGTGTTTTGCGGATGCTGCATTTATGTTTACTGTAAAAGTATGAAATGAGCAGGTCATGAACCCATGTCTGCAGCTTCATAACGTCCAGAAATTTATTTTTTATTTATTTTTATATTTATTAAGCTGATTTGCACCATTTAAAACCTATAAAATTACATACAAGTGCAATAAAAAAAAAAAAAACCAAGAACTAAGAATTGTTGTTTCACAAGAATATTTGATTGTTGTTAACTTTATCTTTACAACCTCAAAAAATCCAAGCAGATGAAAAAAACATGACTTCTGGTTTCAAACAAGGATAAAGACTTTAAATTGATTTTTTAACTTGTTATAAGAATCAGTTCTAAAATAAATCAAAGTGATAAACCAAGAAGGTTTTTAGGAATTTCCCTTTGGAATCAGTATGTATCTGTGTAAAAGCAAAAATAAATAAATAAATAAAACACAACTACCCACAATTCTTTTCATTTATGAAAAGTTAAATTGTCCTTAAATGTAAATTTAAAAAAATGGTTAACCCAATAATTAAAACATTAATTTGACACGACCTGTTTGTTATTTAAAACAATTTTCATGTAGATATTTTTCAGGAACTCATTGGAAGAATACAAAGAGTGTGCACAGGTGTAATGAAAACTATTCTCTCAGGGTTTTCTTTTTTTAAACAAATCACACAAAACATCTCCTGCTCTGGAGCTGAGAACAAGCGAGTGGCTGAACTCAAGTGTGTGAAGCTTTTTGGATATTCAACAACAAAAAAAAAGTGTACACTCACATTTTTGCCTCGGATATGAAGGGTAGTGAAATAACTATGAATGAAGTTTGAGTTCAGCTGCTGTGGTTTAATGATGGCCAGCAGTCTCAGAGCTGAAGCTTGAGGACTCCATGATTCATCTTCATGTTTCCATGGCGACCGAGGACAGTCCAGCATGTCGACGAGGGCGTCTATTGACTCTGTTTCTGGTTCCTCTGTGCTGTCTTTGGTGCCTCTCTGACAACAAAACTGCTACTTTAGTCATATTTTATTATTTTAAAACACAGCTTGTGTTGTGAAGTGAGCTCTGTGAATCAATATCGAGTTTATTTTGAAGTAAATCAGCTGAAAACTCACCCAGGTGCCGTTTCCACACGGAAAATCAGTCAGACATAGACGTCGGATCTTCTTCTCCAACACCGCAGAAAGTGTTTTTGAGCTCATAACTGTTGAAATACACAGCAGGTACAGCAGCTGATCACCTTGTCTTTACTTGTTTGTTTACTTTCACTTGTTGCCAGGCAACAGCTGGGGCTCCATTCAGGGACCCTGAAATAAGTCGGTGATGCTGTGAAACAGATGGTGCATGAAAACAGTGAAATACTGTCCAGCCTGCTTAAAATAATTTCAAAAACATTGCATTTATGGAACTTTCAATGGGAGAAAAAACACAAAGGACATTTGTGCATGTGTGTGGAGACTCATGTAGACATCAGAGGCACTTATGAGAGAGAAATATTGCATAAATCAAAACTATCTAGCCAAAAACATAAAAACTATTGAGGCATAGTTTAAATATACATATAAAATCAAAATGCATTGATTTGTAACACTTTTTCATTCCAATAATGTAGTTTGAGGTAAAAAAAAAAAGATGGTCCCTGTAATGGACCTGTCCAGGGTGTCCCCCGCCTCTCAATCTATGACTACATGGACACCAGTGACCCCTGTAATGGATGTATAGATAAAAAAGGTGCAGTGTCAGTGGAGTGATTAAACAATTGCTGTATCTGGGTCAAAAATTAACAAAATATTTAAAAAAATTAGGAATCAAAATAGTCCAAAAGTTTTAAAATTGTTCAATTTTTTATTTTCATTTTTTTGCTTCGTGTAGACTGTCAGCTGTTGAAAACAGCCTGCACATCTGATTTTATTTTCTTAATTAATTTATTTTTGTTTGTTTCACAATACACAAAATCTCGTTCTACCTGAATGGTGCCTTCATAAATGTTTCCGGTCCCGTTAACGCTTGTGTAAATCCACCCCCTCAGAGGTTTTTAAACAATTGGTGCTTTTGTCCTCTCTTTTGCCTGAAGTAAGGCTTGCAACATTTATAAGAGTTTCAAACTGTTATTTATTAAGCCACAAGACAGATTTTAGGAGGTGCAGTACTTTTTTTCTGGCCTGGAAACAGAGAAGAGCTGGAGAAGAGAGATGTCTGGTTGGACCTTTTTCTTGACCGTGGGTAAGCAAAAGAAGACCGATGGATAAAAACAGGTTTCCTAAATGAGCTTCAGCTCAAAGAAGACATCTTTTCTTGACCTTCTGTAGAGCAAGAAATTATTTAATTGTTCTTGAACAATTAAACAATTGTTTGTTTCATCTTGAAACCAGCAGATCAGATATTCAACACAGCTGCTTTAAGCCATGCTGTCATGATTTAAATATGAACTAGAGTTTTTATATTTCACCTTCCAGAGAAGTTAAACCCTTTGCCTGTTCTGCATATTATTTTCCACATCATGTTCATTTCTGTATCCTCTATGCTGATCACCACCTGCAGTATTTATACTATTTTATTAGATGCAACCAAGATGAGACATTGTGTAAAATATAAAAAACATATATACTTATATTTTTTTGCTAATCAACTCATATTTTAGGCTCAGTGAGACAGAGCGAACATATCAAATGCTGAAACTAAGTAATTGTACATTTGTTGAAAGAAAAAGTAAAATAAGATAATTTTGAATTGGATGGCTGTTACACCTCTTAAAAAAGACAGGACAACACACCAAAAAAGTAAATGGTACGAATAAGAAAAAACTGGAAGAGAATTTAGCTAAATATTATGCTCATTATCAACAGGTCAGCAAAAGCACTGTGTATAAAGTTAACATTTTAAAGAGGCTGAATCTCTCAGAAGAAAAGGGTTGAAGTTCACCTGTCTGCAACAAACGTTGTCTAAAAATAGTGGAACAATTTCAGAATAAGTCCCTCAACAGAAAATTGTGAGGACTTTGAACATCCCATCAACTGCAGTTCATAATATAAGCAATAGATTTCAGGAGAAATCTCTGAGCTGGATGAAGTGATCTCCGGGCCCTCAGGCAGCACTGCTTTTGAAACAGGTCTGATTCTGTTATGAACGTCACTGCATGGGCTCAGGAACACGTACACAAATTATTGCTTGTAAACACAGTTGCCATCCAGAAAGGCAGTTGTCTTCTCGGGGCAAAGCTCATTTAGAACAGACTGAGACAAAGTGGAAAACACTTCTGTGGTCAGACAAAACAAAATTTGAAATTCCTTTTAAACCACAGATGCCACATCATCTGAACGAAAAAGGAGAGGGGCTGTTCTGGTTCGTTATCAGCCCACACTTTAAAAGCCTGCCTCTCTGATTGTATAGGGGTGCATTCATACCTATAGTACAGGCAGTGCACACATCTGAAAAGGCGCCATCAATGCAGAAAAGTATTTTACAGATCTGAGAACAACGTATGCTTCGAATATTTTAGCAAGACAATGCAACCAACTTGATAGATATGGTCTTATCCCAACATTTTTAATGTTTTGTTTTAATTAGTTATTTCATCCCTTAAGAAAGGCCAAGTGATACCATAACTGTGTGCAAAAATGCAACATAGCAGCTCTGGTAAACAGGGTCCTGCTGGTTTTAATGTCCAAAAGAAAGAGAAGGCCGGTCATTGATATAAAAAAATTAATTGAGTTAAAAATCAATTTTGTTCACTGTTTGGATTCTGATAGTTTAAATACACAGAAAATAAATTATAAATATATTTTTGCAATCAACCACATCTGTGGCTGGCATTAAATAATGACTCATCAAGATAAATCAAAAAGCCAAATATTGTGGTTTATTTAAATGAAGCAGAACAGATAAAGATAATAAAACAGTAACTGAGAGGAGATGTGTTATAGGAAATGTAGGATTTTATAATATACTTGATGCAGTACATACATGCCTTGAAACTCAAAATTGGGCATTTTTAATTTCATGATCGGGTTCATGGGAACAGGAATCACTGTGACTAAACATAAAATGGGCTAACGTGTATTTAAAAGAAAGTAATGTTAAACAAAATCATGTAACAGCATCATAACAACAAGTGAACAACCTGAGTTCCACAGTTTCACACAAGACCTAAACTTTAGCAGACAGTTTCAGCCTAAGCTTGAGATGCCATTGATAACTCTGTGGCAGTTTGCACAGCCTCCACACAATCAACCACTGCGGTAAATGCTGCAAAAAAGAAACATTTACAAAAGAGATTTTGGGGGCGATAATGCCACAGTGGCGTCATCAACCAGCTGATGGCATGCAGAAAAAAATTCCACATAGCAATGGACTATATAAGCAGTTTGAGTCAGTTCATGAGCAATGAGTCAGCAGAAAGCAGGAAACAAATCATACCATGTGTCTGCGTAATGGTAAGCTAGCTTTCAGTGATAACTACACTGATCAGGGTGAAGAGCTAACACTAAGGACTGTGCTTTAACTCAGATCTTTTTGTAAATTAAAACAGGTCTTTTTGTTGTTTTCTTTCCAAAAGCATTGTCTTTTCTCCCCACAGCATTGTCTTGAACTTAGATTCCTCCTTGATGAGGCTTCAGCTCACTTGTTACGCAGATGACATCATTCTGTTTTGTGTTCTTTGTTGCAGAGTTCCTGCTTTTCTTCATCGCTGTGAGCTACGTTGACCTCATGGTCTCCCAACGGATAAAACTGAAATATTTGAGGAGTCTTAGTTTGTCTTTGGATAATCTGAGAAAGGCAGAAAATCAAACAGTAAGTAAGCTTAGAAAAACTTCATATAATGTGTAGAAATTTGCAAAAGTTTTAAATCACTCCTACGTTCTTTGTTTTGCTTTGAACTAGTCTGACTTTCTTATAATATGTTATATTACTAATTAGTACTCCAGGCGTTTTAAAGTATTTTAAAGTATTTTCTTGGACTTTGGAAACTTTTTCTGCTCAGTTTTAGTCCAGTTTTTGCACCTGACCTTGATAGCTTGAGCATGTAAGCAAAGTGAACAAATGAGGACAAAAAAAAAAAGGCCTTAAAAAACTACCTACAGTAAATGAACACTCTTTGAAAGTTATCTTTATTAAAAAGATCCTGCAGATCCTTCACACAGCATCTAAGTACTCATCTCAGTTGATTGTCAACTGAACGCCAAGTTTTCAGCTATTAGTTTGTTGAGAATCCCCTTCTTGGTGTTTGTTTCTGCCTCTAAAATCACCTTTTTATTGGTATTTTTCATAAATTCAGCTGAATAAAGTCAGATAGGATAAGCTCATATTAACAAAGTTGTTATTTTGCTTAGTTGTCTGTTATGTGTCAGGACAACACTACTGTAGTTCATATCTTAAGTTTAGGAGTGGTTTTGTGCCTAAATGAGTCATAAGTGGTTTAAATAATAAACATTCCTCTAAAATAGTTTAATACTGGAGTTAAGTGTAAAAGCAGCCAAAGACTACAAAAGTGTAAAATCAAATTTAAAGTAGCATGAGATAAAGTCATGTTACCTCAGTTGGAAGAAGCTTTTCAGTTTGTGATTCAGTCGAAGCAGATGGCCGCTTGTCCTGACTGAGCCTGGTTTCTTCCTCATGAGGGAGTTTTTCCTTTCCACTGTCGCCTGCATGCTTGTTCAAGATGAGAATTCTGCAATGGAGTTCAACTCAAAGCAGTCTGCTCCTCAGATAAATGGTGTTAAATTATTTTTATATACCCGTGCATGAATGTTTCTGTTCAGTGCCCTGAGACGACTTCTTTTGTGACTTGGCGCTGTATAAATTAAATGAATTGAATTGTAAATAAATGATGGTGGATGTCCCTACAGTTTTGTGTTCCGGTGTTTGCTTTGACAATCTTTTCTCCTGTTTTCTCCACAGGGCCGTCACCTCTTTGGTGAAGTGCTGGCAGCCTACAGTGATGAAACTTTGGAGCCCCTTGATGGAATAACTTTTCCCGTGGGAAACACTACTGATCCTAAAACACGGGAATCCGTGTGTGCCATCAACGACTACCTCCAACGTCATCTGCCGCCAGTCGGCAGGACTCTCATTCTGAATCACTCTGACATCCTCAATAACGCTATGGCTTTTCAAATCCAGTTCAAAGCATTTGCAGAACAGCCCTTTTGGAATGGAACTATTGACCTCAACAAATGTCGCAGAGAGAAAAAACAGTTAAAGG